TATATATATATATATATATATATATATATATGACGAGAAAGTGAAAAAAGCAGACGTTAGATGGGTCACTGCATGAGTGAGTGGGTACTACTCACCTTTTTATTAGCTCTTTTGAGCAGACGACGGAGATTTGGGTCCACCGAGCTGGATTTTCTCTTGATGAATGCTTTAAGAATTTGGCAAGGATTCTCTTTGTCTGCCTTGAGGAAGTTCATAAAGGTTCGAATGGCATCCTCCAGAATCGCCGAGAACTCGGTAGATGAGATCATTTCTTCTTTGCCTTCATCTGCTTTTGAATCTTTTAACATCGCATTAATATTGCAGAGGAACAAATTAGCACTCGGGGAGATGTAAAGTGAACACACGAGAGAAGGCAGGAGGCACCTCGGAACTCAGGAACTAGGAGCAATTTTGGAGAAGAAATCCTCGTCCGAGCAAAGACTTGGGGCCTCCGGCCACGCTCGTAAGGCTCGTTTTCTATGAACCGCTGCAACAGGACCTGAAACTGTTGGAACTGCTGCGCCATCCATGCGGTGCAAGAAGCGCGTTCACTGTTTGATCCCTTGGCGCTCCATTGCAGGAAATGGTTGTAGTTCCAGTTAAGAGCTTCCCATGCGAGGCAGATCTGAGCCACATAGGCACTCTCCAGTTCTTGATATGGATCCCTATTTCCCTTCTTCTTGTGTGTCGTAAATTTGTGAACTATCCTTCGAGAGACTGATTTCGGTTGGTACTTCATTGACCTAAATGATTCTGAAAATTAAGGGATATGTAGCCTTAGCCAATCCATGGAGGAACAAAGCTACTTAGCAAGTACGTAAAGATTACATGAGGAATGAATGACCTGTTTCTGTGAGTTTTTGTGCACTGATCCTGTCGAAAAACGTCATGTCCTCATCGTATTTTCGGAACCAGGTGTATTTTTCCCAGTTGGAAGAGCTCCTGCGTGATGAAGAGGAGAAGGGGCATTCTGTCTCCGAATCCCTGATGTTTGTGGAGCTTCTCCACTCCATCGAGCTCTTCGATGTCGACTCACTTGTGAGAGAACCACCAGATGTGTGTTCTTCCAGCTGAAACTTTTTGCTCCCAGGATGTGTTTGCGCGACGATGAGGAGTTTCTGTTTCTTTGACGACTCCTCATTCTGCTCCTCCTCCTCTTCCTTTTCATTATTGTGAAAGGCATCTCCAACACAATCTTCATCTGTAAACAGCATGAGCATTATCAAGTAGTGAGACGAGCTAGAATTGAAGGAAGAGTTGCATTTCCTGATGTACCTTCGACAGACCCACATATGATTGGAGTTGGAGAACTTGATGTTCTTATGACATCGCTCACCGGAGAATCATCATTCTCAAGTCCAGGATTCGATTGATCTTCTAAAGGGGAACTGTGCGGCAATTCTGTGACGAGGCTTTCATCAACTTTCGAAAGGTGTTCCTGATCTGTAGAATCCTGTTCTTCTTCGCCAAGAAGGGTATCGTTGAAGATGCTTTCGTTGTAGCAAAAGAACAATCCTTTTTCCCTGCCGAAGATGCTGGCAGGTAACTCCTCATCATCGGAGTAGCACACATCGGTTGTGGGCTTGATCTCAGCTTCAGTGATGAGCTGAGAACTCCTGCAACAGAAGGTCAGTAGCAAGACAGTAGAGAGAGAGAGAGAGAGAGAGAGAGAGAGAGACGTAGGTACCTTTGGTCTCCGGAAATGGCTGCTCCTTCAAGAAGAAACGTGAACAGCTTGGTGAGGAGGAAGGAAATGAGGTGGACGAGGAGGAGGAGGAAGCCGAGGAAGGTGCAGACATGGAGGAGACACATCAGGGATTCCCCTTTGGGGGTTCGGCCATGGCAAGAGTGAGAAACGGGTTCCCCGGGAGCTTCCAGGGCAATCACTCGGAGAAAGGCTGGGGGATGACTGCAGTCATTCATTTATGAGGAGGGCGTGGAATTTGCTTTGCTTTGCTTTGCTGCGATCACTTGCTGAGAAGACCACAGTGACGAACTGCTTTATTTAAGGGAAGTTGGATGATACGAACCAAACTCTAAGCTTGACATGGCCTCTACCTCTTGGGTGCTGCATTACGTAACCCAATCCGATGGACTCGACCATTACAAGTTACTCCTTCGCGGCCCAAGCATGCTGCAAGTTGATTCGTCTCTAAAATAAAGCAGGCACGCATCACCGGAGACTCGTGGCACAAAGCTTTTTGGAACTCCGACTAATTCACGCAATACAAGTTAGCTTTATGGCATTTCCTGCATTGCTTTTTGCCAACTTTTGATCCACGTATATCTCATCAATCTGCTGCAGAAAAGCCTCAGAAATAGAGTTCAAAGGACTCGAGAATCTGCAAGCGACAGCAACACTGGTGTCCAACCCACATACCAAGACGCAGGGGAAGGTGTGGCGCCACATCGGAGTGACGTGGAGGCAGAGGAATGGGTTGCACGTGTCACTGGGATCCTCCATGATCTCAGGAAAACTGGAGGCAGAGGAATCAGGCCATAAATAACGGTCCCACAACCTGACACTCTATTTTATGGCTGCATTGGTATCGACAAATGCGAGATCTAATAGGAACGCAAGTGCTTTTTCTGTTCTGTTTCTTGTTTCTTTTTGTGCTTACCACTTCGGTAAAGGAATAAGCCGCTTGTTGTGCTTCGTACTGTGCTTCTGAGAGTGACAGGATTCGCGGTCTTTACTCTTTCGCCTCTATCTACCCTCAGGATTCATTCTTCCCAGATCGACATCTGAAGGATCGGAGTGCGATACGTATAATGGAGGTAGAACAGATGAACTAAACGGGATGATAGACTGGGTGGGCACGTTGTGAGCGCTTATTGATGCTTGGAAATCTTCTTGGGATACATCATGTGCACCATCTATCTCTGCGGATAGATACGTCGGTGGTGATGAACAAACGAAGCAACCAACGGCTCAACGATGACTTCCGCCGTACGGCGCCGACAGTCTCGCCCTGGGATGAAGGCGAAACCAGACTCCGGTGGAGGTCGCATGGAAGCCCACAGCGCATGGAGGGATTTCCTGTGTTCGAGAAGCACTAGTCATTTTACCGGGATACAATCCATCATACCAAAATGTTTGCTGTTCCTCTTCGAGAAACCTACGGCTCCTCACCTTCGAATGCCTGCCTTTAATACTCCACCCCTCCCCATCCGTTCTCAAGCCATCCTCTTCCTCCACCCACAAACTCTGTTTGGCCATTCTAAAGCAGTAGCATTACAGAAAGACAGAGGAGAGGGTCTGTTATTGATACCGATATTTACATAGAGACGCCGAGACAGATAAGGATGAGCTGTAATGGGTGCCGGGTGCTGAGGAAGGGATGCAGCGATGGATGCACCATCCGCCCTTGCCTGCAGTGGATCAAGAGCCCCGAGGCCCAGGCCAATGCAACGCTCTTCCTCGCCAAGTTTTATGGACGCGCCGGCCTCCTCAACCTCATGGACGCCGGCCCGCAAAACCTCCGCCCCGGTATATACATACATCTATATCCATGCACGTCTGCCACTCCTTTGTTTTCAGTACGAGGACAAGGATTGCTAATGTCGTCACCGTTGTTTCGGTTCAGCCATTTTCCGGTCTCTGCTGTATGAGGCATGCGGCCGGATCATAAACCCGATCTATGGTGCCGCCGGCTTGCTCTGTTCCGGCACCTGGTAGCTTTGTCAAGCGGCTGTCGATGCTGTTCTCAAGGGAGCACCCATCGCCCAAGCCGCCTCTTCTTCTGCCTCTGCCTCCGCCGCATGTGTGTCACATGTGCCACCACTCATATAATTGACTTGCAAGACACATATGACTAGCAAAATTCTCTTGTCTTGTTGAGTTAGGTTAGGAAAGATTTTAGTATAAATTGTTATGGTTTAAACTTATGTAATTATAGATTAGGCAAGCGATGAATTGGTGGTCGGAAGTCCAACTAAGAGTTTGGGCTAGACTGATTCTAGAAGAATTAGGATCGGTGTGTTTGGCATTAGAGCGTTCGACATGATTAGACTCCGTATGTCCATTTGGCCCATTGGGTTCTTTATGGTTTAGCTCGGATGGTCTTACAAAGTTTTCTTGAGACATATTGATAGTCCTCCTTCTAGCACTAATTTATTAGTGTATGTTCTAATTATCTGATCTGGGATGATGATTCAAATTCAACCGAGGCTCGTTCCAAGTCAATCTCAATTCATGTCAAAGTTAAAAAGACGTTATGGACATATGCTCATCCGATGATCAAAATTAGTTTTTGGGTTTGATTCGATCAAACTAATCGATCAATACTGAAGCAAAGCAATGTATGTCGGAGCATATCTGGGTCCTTCTTCTTTTGTGTGACCTTGAAATCGATTACTCTCAGAATCGTTGATGATGGGAGGGAATACGTGGTATTTCGGGCGAACTAACATCATTCAAACCTGGCATCCATAGACTAATCACATCAATCATAGGGTTCATATGGTCGATCGTTTGGCCACGTACCACCACCCGTGATCTAACTGTCGCATAATCCTTGTGACCTTCGACGATAGCCCCGTCGACTATGACGACATTGTGTGTGACACATGACTCTTCACCTATCAGTACCAAAGCACAAAAGCCATTTGTAGCGTCATCGTTCTGCCAAACTCGAAACAAGGAACAGCGGTTGAATGCTTATTTCTGCACGCATCGACAGTTGAGCCGTCGTCAATTTGTGCTGCGCATCCTATCCTATCAAGGAGACCTTCACGTCTTTGACATATTATTCCCCGTGGGATATATAGCATTCAAAATGGTGCTGTAAATACCGACTGTGTAAGTTGTTGTTTTATGATTAAGATACCTCCTATATTTGCTGGTTCTCAACTCCGTTAAGCAGTTTGAGAAACATGCCTTTTTTTACCTCATCCCTGCGGGAGGATGCCTCTGGCTTTTCTCTCCTTTCTGCTTGAATGTAATGTGTCAAACGTGCATAAATGGGGTACAACAAACATCATGACACAATGAAGGAGACAATAGCTTCGAATAAGATCGCTCTCACACGATCTTGATCTTAGGAGGGTGAGTGCGTCTCGTCCTCGAGATGTTAGTCAACGAACAAGGAGGAAATCCGGTGATACGTCGGAGTGCAATTGAACAGGAAACAACATTGGTTGTGATACAGTGGCCTTTGCTGCCCGGTCTTCTCAGGCAAAAACATGATGTGTGTGTGTGTGTGTGTTTCTTGTTATCGTCCGTCAAGTGATTGAAATCTTAGTTACATAAAAAAAACAATCATTTCACGAGCAGCTGCTGCTTCTCTGAATAATTTCATAAAGCTTTTGGTGAACTTCGATTGCAATTCTTTCGATTTAATCCTACATCGGAAGCGAGCAAGGATTTGAATTGATTTATAAGGTTCTATGGTTGCTTGGGAATTGATTACAACGCAAAGTGTGGATTGACATAAATAGAAAGATAATACAGGGGGGCGTTTCCACCCCTCATAATAATGGTTCCTTTTGCCACAGGAGAGTCGACATGACGACAAAATGTATTCGATCCACATATAATTGCTGTAAGAGTTCCTAACCAATACTAGTCGTGATGGGATTGCATCGCATATATGGATGAGACTCGAATCGAATGACAAGGAAGCATGGGGATGAGAACTCGTGGAGGCAGTGACTGAACATGATACGTTCTCCTGTCACCGACGAAGGGATGAAGAAGCAATTTGGATCTCACATCCTATCCTACTCCTCTCAACAATCATTCCTCTTCCTCCTCCGTCGATTCGTTAACATTGCAACGTAAGAAAGAACAGCTGAACTGTAAACCTATAGCTCTATACTCGACGAGAGTTTCTGAACCAGAATCAAGCAGAGCAACAGAGGAGGCTCTCTGCCGGTGACCTCGTTAACGGACAGAAACTGGCATAGATTCGAGGCATGGCATCGACTCTAACCCGGTCCGGTAATTTTCAGGTGGAATTAATCGATAACAGTAGGAGGAGGAGAAGTGAGGGCCACCACTCGTTCATGTTCATGGAGATAAGGTAAGCCACTGCAGACATGTGGCTCGTGAGGAAGGATGGCAAACGATAAGGATGGCATCCGCGCCCCCTCGTTAATGTGTGGTGCTCAGGGTTTGTGCGATGTCGCCTTCTGGAGAACCAACGTACAAGATGAGCCACAGGATGGTAAATATCAGGAGGGAAGGCGCGGTGGTGTTGTATGTATATATAGGGCCGGAGTTGGGAGTGGTGAGGCCTCACGGCGACGAGTCTTCTTCTTGATCTCGGGTCGAATTAGGTGAGTGTCAGAAAGAGGAATCAACGATGGTTTCCTCCATGATGGTCTCCTCGGCTGCCACCTTCACCCGGGCTTCCCCGGCTCAATCCAGCATGGTGGCGCCGTTCACCGGCCTCAAGTCCGCCTCCGCCTTCCCTGTCACCAGGAAGCCCAACGCCGACCTCTCCCACCTCCCCAGCAATGGCGGCCGAGTTCAGTGCATGAAGGTACGCACGTACAAGGCTCGTGGCTCGAGTCGGAAACCTCTGTTACCGAGATAGCCGTTACGAATCATATACTGTGGATGTAATTCTTACGACAGGTGTGGCCGATCGAGGGCATGAAGAAGTTTGAGACCCTGTCCTACCTTCCGACACTGAAGGACGAGGAGTTGCTGAAGCAGATCGAGTACCTTCTCCGCTCCAAATGGATTCCCTGCTTGGAGTTCTGCCCCGTAAGTAACTTCACCTGCCCCATGGTGGGCATCCGGTAACCTTGATATCCAGCATGCATACCGGGGATTGAAGTCGATCGTAATGACCATAACAGAAAGGGTTCGTGTGGCGCGAGAACCACCGGTCGCCGGGGTACTACGACGGGCGGTACTGGACCATGTGGAAGCTGCCCATGTTCGGGTGCACCGACGCTGTGCAGGTGGCGAAGGAGGTGGAGGAGTGCAAGAAGGAGTACCCCCACGCCTTCATCCGCATCATCGGCTTCGACAACAACCGCCAGGTGCAGTGCATCAGTTTCATCGCCTACAAGCCGACCGGCTACTAGACGATTCGGATCCGGCTCTTCGGATTTGCTTTCTTTGGTTCAGTGTTGGATGTTTCCCCTTCTCTCGTTGTCTCCTCTACGCAACCGCCGACAGTGCAGCAGCGCACTGAGGCCGTCTATGTTTTGTTTCCCCAAGAACGCGGAGCTTGTATGTTAAGAAGTTTATTATGGACGTTCGCTTATTTATAATAAAGGCTACCCAATGTGTTTGATTTTACCTGTATCCGTCTGCTGTGGGTGGAAGAATCCCGTACCGTAGTCGGCAGACGTGTGGTGTGGGGGTTGAAGCTTTGCTCTGGCCCAACCTAATGTTATCTGGGCTCTGTATTGGGCCGATCTCGGCCTACTTGGACGATCAACCGCTGGGTCAACGGTCAAACACCGCGCGCATGTCTTCTTCTTCTCCCTCCCCTACTAATTTAATGGAAATAGATATATGGACCCCCAAAAAAAAAAAAAAAAAAATGTCATCATCTCGCATCCGACGCACCAACAAACGCGCCGTGGCAAAAGCAGTACGAGAGGTTTCCTATCGTCGTCGGTCGTGAAGAGTAGCAAAGTAGATCGAGCCCAAGCGAGGAACGTCACGTGCGAGCATAATTCGTGTCGGCCCTTCGCTCGTGGTGGGGTACCGCCGCGGTGCCCGGTACCGTGTCGGATGATGTATATTAATGAAGCCAACCGTGTGTGATATCTCAACTCATGCTGTAATCACCGTTTGAATAGTTTGATGAACGGTGTCCATATCCACAGCATGCGTGACACATTTGGTACCTACCCATTAAAATACAATACCATTCAGAGCACTCTCTCGATTTATTTTACTTTTTCTATTATTCTTCTTCTTCTTCTTCTTTTTTTCCTTTGGATAAATCCTCCTCCGACTCCCTTCTTCCCCATTCCTATCTCCTTCCCCTCTTCGGATTCTCTCTCTCTCTCTCTCTCTCTCTCTCTAGTAGGGAGGCGGATAAGGTACATAAAAATCCGGTCTTTGCCTCCTGCGCTTCTTTTTCTTCCCTTCTTCTTCGATTCTGAGGGGTGATCGGCTTCTTTTGTGGGAGATCCCTCTCGTGGTGTCGCGCGCCGGTGGTTTTCCAAACAGAGTCGGGATTTTTACTGGTTTTTGGAGTTTTCCTTCTTCTCGAAATTTCGCACCCTCCTGCTTTTATGGGAAACAGTGAAATGTTCAAACTTGCCTGCAAATACGTCCGAGTTTTCGTAGCTGCGGCGTTGTTTCTACCGGATTCAAACGGAGAAAACCGCTTTTCTTGTTGGCTAATTTAGTTGTCACGACAGGCGTTGCCATCGTAAAGATTGGGCGAACATGAACCGCTGCGCGATGCAACAGAACCCTTTCGCCGCCTACGAAGAGATGAGGACCGCTTTCGCCGCCGCGGAAAGGAAGCCCCCTGTCTTCTGCCCGAAGCCCCGGCGGCTCAGCCCGCCCGCTGGCGTCGCCGATCCGATCTGGCCCCTCCGTTGGCACTCGAGGTTGACATATATAACAACCCCTCCTCTGCTACGACACCGCAAAAGTTTCCCCTTTTCGTGTATCTGATTCCACCTCTCTCTGTCTCTCTCTTCTGCTCTTCTCAGTCGTCAAGCAGATTTCTCCGATTCGAACGCCGTGGCGGACCTTCTTGACATCTTGCTCGCAAAGGTGAGATTTTTTGTTGACGTTGTAATAACATGTGTATTTGATGTAGCTGATACCGAAGAAAATAGATCTGGAAAACCTCTGTTATTGACGTCTATTATCACGATTTGTTCGCAGGATGGTGAAGAACAGAACCGAGAGGCTTCTTCGCCGCCCTTCTTCTGCGGCTCGCCTCCAGACCGTGCGGCAAACCCGGTCGTCCATGACGCCCGTTTCGGCGAGGACCGTCCGCCGCTGGCGCCGTTCGCCCCTGTGCAACCGACCCAGTCCGTCACGCCGATGTCCCCCAAGCACGCCAAGTTCGGGCTCCTGCCGGCGGCCGTGCGGGTCGAGGGTTTTGATTGCCTCGATCGCGGCTGCAGCAGCATCGCTGCTGTGGCCTGAACGCCCGCATGCGCCTCCGAGCTTTCTTTTGGAGCGCGGTGAGAGGAAGAGTGAGAGGAAGGGAGAATTGACATCAACAAATCAAAGAAACCAGCTGTAGGAGAAGAACAAGTTGGTAATCTGGGAATGCGTTTTGGCTCTCCATGTAAACTGTACATCTTACTAGTGGTGCACCAATGTTGTGTACTATTTGTGTGGGAGAATTGTATGTAGATATCAAAATAAGGAAGATAGAGAGTTAGGAGGAGGAGGAGAAGGAAAGCCAAGTTTTTTTGTGTTTTGTTTTGATCCATATGGACGGTAAGAGGTTCTATTTCATCCTGTGCTGAAATATTCATCATCTTGTATAGAACTCTTAGGAGGAAATCCTCGAATCATGAAATTGTGTATCTATTCATCATGTATAAAATTTTGTATTCCTTTTCCTCTCTATGTTTATGGTGCCTCTTGGAGCTCTCGAGACGGTGGTGTTGCGATTGATGTGGCTGCCACCAGCGAAAAGATGTTGCGCTTAGTGTTAAGAGCATCGTTGGACGGAGATGACTGGAGACGTGGCTTCGTGTTGGAATAATGTCATCTTATCAGAGCAGATATGGTCAATATCGTCGACTGATACGAGAGGCGATGGGTAAGGAGGAAGAGGTGGAGGATAAGAAGGAAATGGGGGCAGGAGGGCCCAGCAAAAGGGGTGTGAGGTCATGTCTTCTCCACCGAGCTGTCTCTGTTCAAGTGGCGCTGTCGCGAAGAAAAAAAATAACGAAGTCCATGCCACCACCATTCTTTGAATTCTCCACATGTGTTCGTCCGTGATGACTGACTAATTCAACAACGGATGGATCGACTCCGAGACGGACTAAATGTTCTGTGCCTAACGAAGGATGGACACAAGTGGATAATGCTTTGACAAAGGTGGCTAATTGGCACGCGATTTCCAGGGTCTTCTGTATGCACAGAGTCATGAGCTGTAATAGGCCAATGTCGTGAACTATATAATAAATACATCGATGGAAGTCATGAGCAAGTGGGGAAAAGAAAAGCCTCGGCGATTTCTTTCTACCCGTTGCCGTCCTGCTTTGCGTCCGACCGTCTCATTCCATCCCGCATGAGATACGGTGCTGTCGGAAGAGATTCGGACTCGCATTAGGTTCCGATCTCTCCGAGCGTTCGTTCAGACACATCGCCAGGGAAAAGAAAAAGAGTAGTAGAATCCATCCAACTTGTGCTTGCCAAATAAGCAGATAAGAGGAACGAAGGCTGGGTTCACAAGCAGTCAACGTGGCCACTTTCCACACCACGGCCTTCGTCCGCAGACCATTCCTCATCCCATCCAAGTGAGTCCAAAATCTCCACTGCTCACCTCAGGCGTGAATGCAGATAAAGAGGAAACAAAGCGGACGTGTCCTCTGCGGAACATGTGGTCCGCCATGCACGTATCCCCTGTTACTCTTGGCCTCGGCGAGACGACGTGCCGATCCATGGGTGGAAGAGAGACGGAAGGAATAGGAGAGATCCCACGACGTGCAATGTTTCATCGCCCACCGTGCTGCACTCGCACATGGTCTGCGGCTTCTCCCCGGCGCATGGAAACCAAATATGGGATCGGTGGGAGAAACAGGATCGGAAACCTGTCTCCACGGTACCACTTTCCTTCCGGTACCCAACCGATGAAGGGATGCGTAGAGATCGTAATCGAAGCATCTGACTGCAGGAACGCTTAGAGAATTCACTCGTTGCAAGCACCATAGCCTCGTCCTCGTACCATGCCATTCTCGATGAAGGAATCAGAAACTGGGCGAAGCGAAGGACATGCCACGTAAAGCAGAAGAACAGGGCACAAAGAAAGGATTCCGGTGGAGAATAAAGAGGGAGGAGAGTCTGGTCCATTGCTTTTGTCGACAGATGGGTATCGTTTGAGACCCACCTGGATCGCTATGGTGATGATAGATAGATAGATAGATTCTTGATGTTTATTCTCCCATCAAATCAGTAACAGGGAGGAGTGAAACGGAGCGAGAGAGAGGAGGGACAACACATTTACGGAGAACCTACATGTGTCGAGACAGGAAAACAATGACAGGCTACAGGTGGGTTGCGTACACTCAAACCTTTGTCGCCGCAACTGGATGCGAATGGGAGCTGTCGGCGAAGCAAGCAATCGGACCTGAGTTGGCTCACCGCAGATGCCTAATGATTGACGCGGAAAAGGCCAAATCGAAGAGATTTGGTTTGCACGATTGGGGTGTGCAGCCAACTCGGGTTGAGTCACCTGCTGCGGCGCCTTTGATTAGCTCTTCCTCTGGTGGGGGTGGACGTGTCCACCTGTGGCCATAAGACCCGCCGCGAGTGGTGGTCAAAACAAAGAAGGCCTTGGGAACGACGGAGGCCGACTTTAACGTGGCAAACGGCTGTGTGCCACCTTTACTGATGTGCCCAAATCTTTAACAAAAATAAATATTCGTGGACCGCTGGGGTGCTGAGAGCATCTGCTTTTTATAATACGAAAAGAAAAGCCTGTTCGTACGACAATCTTACTCTGGCGGAGTGGCTGAAGGAACATTCCTTTTTCTTCTTATATATATAATTACTTTCTTCGTGTTCGTGAGCTCCAACTCAGAAACTTCCCTTCGTTCCTATCTTTACACATGTTTGCCTGAATAGATGCTTGGAGGTGCTGTCAACGTAAGAACGCTTGAAACTGATAAAAGGATGGGGCTCGATGTCAAACATCATAAGAGAAAAACTAGGTCATGTCGTCTAGGATTAATGTTCTTTACGATTAAGCATGCGAGTCCTTTCGAAATCATGATCGAGAAAAGTCCAAAAGGATAAGCTTAGCCATCGTGTATCAATGATTCTTTACGATTAGGCATGCGAGTCCTTTCGAAATCATGATCGAGGAAAGTTCAAAAGGATAAGCTTAGCCATCGTGTATCAATGGTTGCTCTAATTTATGATCACATGAGGGGGGTTACCTTACATGCGTGTCGACTCCAAGTGGTGGCTCACGATTAGGGTGAGTCATCGATCTAATGCTTGTGTCATTGTTTTTCCTATCAACACCTATAGTTTTTTCTAATATCATCATATTTTTAATATATTTTAAAACACTAATATCTCCTGATAAAAGTCTAATATACAAAAGAGTAAAATTATTTATTTCATTAAATTTTCATAATAAAATAGTAAAAATGGATGACATCTTTGTTCAAATTTTTATCATAAAAAATTTTAGATTCTGATGCCACTTTTATATCCTACGAAGAGTTAGCATTTTTTATTTCTTCATAATATTTTTAATTTTTATTAGACTGTGTTGAACAAGGAGGTGTTTCATCCTCCTCTTCTATTCAATTATTGAACACAACTATTCTTTCCATTAAATTTTTATAATAAAAATTAAAATTTAATCGAGCTATTTTTTTAAAAAAATAAAAAAAAATAGATGAGAAAAAGTAATAGCGACCCCTCCAACCAACCCCTCAGCACACGACAACATGAACAGACTAGTCTAAACGCAAAAGTAATATTGACCCGTTACACTAATTTGCTTTTGGTGGGTTGTCCGTACGGACATCGGTGGGTATAAGGCACGCAGCCCATGTGGGGGTCGACTGCAGAAATAACTCCGTCCTCGGCGACGAAGCTGAAGCTGAAGCTGGCAATTGTTTTCTCAGAATCAGAATATTCAATCGGCCACCATAAATCAAATGAATAGGAAGAACAAAAGAAGCACAGACCAGCGGTGGTGGGAAGGTGAAGGTCGTGATCGTCGCCGTAAATTTTAATAGAAACGAGCGAAGAAAAGAAAATATTTCGAAATTGGACAAACAATGGCTCCTTAATTTATTAAGTAGCGACACGCCGGTGACTGTGCGGGAGCGGGAGGAGGAGGTGGAGGTGGAGCTCCGCACGACGGATTCGCCTCCGACCGCCCCTCCCTCATTATTTCGTCTGTCGGTCACGCACGGCTGTGGTCCGCACCTCTCTCTCTCTCTCTCTCAGACACGTGACCCCCCGCTTATCCGCTCCAAAGCCGCGACGCGAACCGGACGCGCTGCGTCTGCCACGTTGCTGCCGGCCCCTCGTAACGTAGCCACGTGTACTCTTTAGCCGGGTTCGACCCGGCTCGGGTAGCCATGCCTTTCGAGCGACGACTCGGCCCGTCACGAGTCCTCACACCGCCCCACCCACGACGACGACGACGACAGATATAGATACGTCGCCGAACCCAGTACGTTCCTGCCGTGTCGAAGACGTTTCGGTCCGTGACGCGCCCGTGGCGACCAACATGCCTAGCGTTAATAGCGACGGGTGTTACTCCTCTTTCGGCTTAAAATCACCGGAGTAAACAGATCCGGATTCGACGCGTCGAGTTGATGGCTGCGTGCATTTAGGGGAAGGTCTGGTGCTCGCACCACGCCTCTTTGATTCATTCCATGCATGCTTTTGACGGACGCACGCGCCAATGAACGTCGAGATTCGCGACGGACAGAATCGCTGAGTGGGTCCGCCGCGGGGCCTCCATGTTTGGCCATTATTGATTATTAGAGGTGGGTAGGCGCGGGCAGCGATTGGGTTTCCTCGTTTCCTTTTTTTTCTTATTCCTTCCTTTCCGTGGGCGATTTGGTTACCACCGCATCACCCATCGAGCTGACAAAGAAAGATATTGATGCCCACCCTGAATAGCCTTTTTCTTTTTTCTAATCTTTCTTTGGCGCTGTTGAGGTCAAATAAAATTATATTAACATCATGATCGTTCGTTTACCCGCGGATGGTGGATGATGGCATGGGAGTTATCCTACCAATATGTTAGCGGCTACGATTCCTAATTTAATCTTCCAAGTTATCCTACCCCAACAGGAGGTCAAACTCGACAACGAGAGGGAGGATAACGTCGAACGTTTCTCACCGTTCAAATCCAGAGGATAGAGAAGGGAGAAGAATAAAAAAAACAAAAAAGGAAGATGCGCCCAAATCCAGCCGAGCCGAGAAGACCAAGCCAAACCACGTACCGCCTCAGCCACGCCGACGACGGGGTCACTGCCCCGGACGCCAGCTCCGGACTCCAAACCCGACCCATACGTGTCCAAATTACCTTTCCTTTTCCCTTCATTAAAATAAAAAAAAGCAAGACACACCCGTGATGCGTGGGCCCCTCCCACCTTATTTCCCCCCCACCCCGCCCCCCTTATTATTATTATTATTATTATTATTTTACTCGCTCTTCCATCTGTTATGGACTTTATCACGCCACCCACCGTATTTCTCGTGTCTCGCGAAACGTCCCCAGAAAAAGAAAAAAAGGAAAATGAATAGAAATCCGCCCCTCCTCTTTCCCTCCCTATATAAACTCCCCCTCCACCGTGGACGAAACCATTCACATGCTTACTCACGCTTCCGTGCTCCTGTTTTGAGTTTTGACCTTCTTCCTACTCGGCCCCCTTATCATTTTCTTTCCCAGTTTGCCCATCGACAACCTGAAATGTCTTCTCCACCCCCATACCTTCCTCCTGTAGAGGCCTCCGCCGATCGGAAAAGACGCCGCGACGAGATGGTGGAGATAGAGGAGGAGGGGGAGTCGCCGGAGATCTCCTCGCCCGAGGCCAAGCGCCTCCTCCTCGACATCCTTGACGATGACGCCGATGCCGGAGACCAGGACCTCGCCTCCGTCATGAAGAGCCTCGAGGAGGAGATCGCCCTCCCCTCGCCGCCTCCGCAACCGCAGCTGCTCCCTCTGGCCGCGGTGGACCAGCCCGACCTAGGGTTCCTCTTCGAGGCCTCCGACGACGAGCTCGGCCTGCCGCCCCAGGCCGACGAGCGCTGCGAGGCACCCGAGCCGGAGGTCGCCGAGGAGAGCGCCGGGTTTGGCCAGATCTGGGGGTTCGACGACGGCGACCTGTGCGGATACGAAGGGTTCGAGTTCGGGATCCGGCCGGAGGAGCGGGCGGAGGCGGACGACGGGGTGGTGTTCGACGGCGGGCTGTTTGATTACGCCGACGTGGTGCCCTGCGGGCCGTCCGATTTCGCGGATCTATCGTGGCGGCCGGAGACGCTCCCGGCCGTCTGATGACAGTCCGGACGCTTTTGTTCTTCCTTCTTTAAACCCCCCCCCTTCTTCAACTTTTCTTTTGTTCTTTTCCTTCTCTTTTGAGGAGCGGTAGGCGGTCGTTGTAAAGCTTAGAAAAAAGAAGATGAAGAAAGAAGACGCTTGTGAACGAGAATCGAACGAACGGTTTCGCACGATATTTCGAAGAAGGAAATCAATCTTTCGTTTTCTATTTCGACAGCGTCATTTTATCATCCACCTTATTCGACCTTTGGATGGACATCCGACGGTGCAGAAATGGGGATCCCAATAATCTCCTTGGATGCTCCGCTCGTCGCTTCTTGATGACCAAAACAGAAAACCTAACAGCAGAATAAAAAGTCGATTCAACCCATGAAGCACCAGTCTTATTCGTTCATTAAATATTTCTAACATTCCGTTGCGTAGTAACGAGTTATGCCATTATTCATATCCCGTATTAGCTAAGAATTATGCTCAATAAATTATATTATAAATTGATTACGAATGGTGTATGACTTGGTTGTGTGTGGGACCTGAGTTTGGTGGCAAGCAGTTTCGGAAACGTGTCGGGCTCTGTACGAGGCCGGCGCAGCGAGTTCTGTGATGGGCCTTCTTCGTCTGTCTTTGCATCTTCGCAAAGAATGTCTGTTTCCCTTCCTTGCACTTGCGTTCCTTGGGTTGATTCCGGCCTCGACCTAGTTGCATGGCGTGATTGGCAGTGGAGGACATTAGAATTCCATCCTACGAGGTCTGCTCTCTTTCCTTTGTTGCTTACAATCGATGAAGAATGGATCTTTACATGCCGCGATCAAGGCCGCCTGTTTTTAGAGCCTCTTTTGGTAGGTCGAAACCTAATTTTTTTTGCATCACCTAAATTTATGGCATCACCTTAGTATGACGACGTTGTGTTCGACGATATGCCTCTTTTGTTTTCATTCATAATCTTATGTTTTCATTAATCAAGTCTAGTTCTCATTGGATTTCCGGTGCGGTGCCACGCCCCTTTTTGCTGGTGAGTAAACACAACACATTATAATTTTTCCGGTGGTAGGAGGTCTGCGGGTGAAGAATTCAGAAAAACTGGGACAAAGGAGATGGATGAAGAGTCTACTTTGTGGAGTGGGAGCGAGGACCATTAATGCTACCTGAATGATCATGGTGATCCGTATATAATAAACATACAGTTTGAGCTTGAGGAGACATCCAAATATCGACTGTTGAAGGCAGAAAAGTAGCACCAGGAGGTCTCTCAGGGAAGGCAAGCTACAAAGCTTGCTGCAGAAAATGCACTGAAAAATATTTAAGAAAGTGTCGGACAGGAATGTATGGGAGGCGGCAAGTGATCTAGATATCCGGATTGGAGTTTTCGAAAACATTGTTCCAGGACCAGGCTATGCACAGCTTCGAGAGGAGGGTGGTCCTAAGAAGGGTAGACATCCGATTCTTCAAGGATAGCACAGGCACATAGAAGAGAATCAGGATTCGGATTTTTCGGTTTGACAGAAAATTTCATTAGATCGTGAAAGACCATTTGTCTATGATTTAATATGCCAAGTTAGAGTCCTCTGATGAAGTAGATCAATATGATGGTTGCTTGCATCATCCCAAGGAAAGAAATTCTCTGGTCTAACCTGACCAATTTATCATCCACCTGTTTCTCCTGCTACATATATTCGAGCCCGTCGTCGATGGAAAAGTGAAGAATGAGTATTTCTTGTTTGTGTCTGTTGTTTCTTCGATCCATCTATCTCTCTCATGTCTTTGTTACCACATGCATGCAATCGAATTAAGTTCACTGAGGATTTATATTTTGATTCCAGAGAAACTGTGTTCTCATTTACGCTTCGTGCGTTCTTCCCATCTTTGTTATGTCTTTTGTCCCATTAGTTAACACTCGTAACATGTTGATGTTCACCGGAAAACTCGTACAGGCGAGGGATGGACCATGGTACGTTGTCCTTTCTAGCTACTGCAAGTGGATCAAGTGGTAAACTTGCAGCAAATTTGATCTGCAACTCGAGTTATAAGGCCAAGGACTATTGTATGTTTGTTTTGAATAGGTATGTGTATAATATTTCTGCCATTGGACTTAGGAAGGAAGTTTCTTGCGAAATGATGCACCGACCTGCTCCCATTTCTAAAATATGCCCCATCTGCTTAGGCTTAGCGAGTTGCAACATAAACAGTTTGGGTTGGGAAGGAGCTTTTCATTGCAGTGTGTGGTATGGAATGTATCTTGTTTCTTGTCTGCACCGATCCAAGGATGGATCATTCTGGCACGGTCATCCTCTCATAATGGTTAGTTTCTTGATCCTTGATCAAGAAGAAAAAAACGAAAGCCATGCTCCTTGATCCCCCGGCCAATCCCTGTTTCTCGAGGCTTTTGTTTTGTGAATCCTCTCGCCCTTTCTCTCATCATATCCCCCTCCTGTACGAAAAGCAAGTGACAAATCTCCTTGTGCCACTAAAGCTGACTCCCATTGTCTAAAGACTTGTTGCGGGGACAGTGTTTTCGCCGCACAGTGTCTCGTACGGTTCCAGCTTTTGTCCATCGTTCCTCTGTCTTTTGGTCTCCCATGCCGACATTGGAGCACTGTTCCGTGAGCCTCACATGGGTGTTGGTGCCGCACAGTGAAAGGCTGCTGACCTCCTCTGTCTGTGAGACTTAAGTTTGACCGTCGGAGAAAGGAAGACTCGACCATCAACGGTGATCATTCTTTTGAGATATCTGTATCTTGTCGTGCACTGCCATTCTTTATCCATCTTTCGAGGACTCGGGCCCTGAACCCTGCAGCTGGTTGGTCATCTTTATAGATACCACGGCATCGGTGATCTTATTATATCTTATGTTGCTGCCCCGGTGGTTAATTGTCCATATATTTGAACTCATAATTTCTTTAATCTCTTCGTGATGCATTGCCCCCCTTGCACTCATTTTAGATTATCTATAACAGTGTGGCTCTCAGTTCTTACCTTGTGGAATTGTACTTGTATTGATTGGGTAACGCATATTTGCCTAAAGGTTACAAGTAAATTATATGAATAATTTAATTGTGGACCAAAATGAGGATGGTAATCAGTAGCATCGAGGACGGTGGGAAGCACAAGAACAAGGGGACGAGAAGATGCTCGACAACAGCTTGAGCTAACATCAAGAATGCTACCAGTTCGAAGCACCACCGACTATAGGAAACCATAGCAGCTACGAGGAAGGAAGAAGGGAAAGAGAGAGAGAGAGAGTCAACCCCCCCCCCCCCTTGTCTCCTGAAAACCTACCATCTACATGATAATACAAGCATTAGCGTTCTCATCACTGAAAAGATGAGTGGCACAGAAGCCGTTGTCTACTTGGCTGCTGAGATAGCGAGGGCTCGGGCAGTAGTTGTAGTAGCCAGTGTAGGAGGCGATCTGAGGGGACCTGAGGTGCATCATCTGAGGCTGCACGCATCTGCCGTCGTGCATCGCCATGCTGTGCCCTCTCGAGTTGTTCGCCATGGATGGTGGATGGTTCGGGTACCCCTGCTTGTTCACCAGCAATGCCGACTGGTATTGTGCCCCACCAGCATTTCGTGGCAAGCCTCCATTGCTCCCAACGAGACCCATCATCACATTATTCGCCTGCGTCATCCTTTGTCCCTTCCCTGCCTCAGGATTGCCACTCGCCACCTTCTTGTCGTTGGCTGCAGCATTGACGCCTTTTGGCTGTGACCCACTTGAGCTTTTCACGGTGTGCTCTGCCTCTCTGCTCTTCCATCCGCTGCTGCCATTTGTTGGCCTCGCGCTGGCTGGTGCATTGTTTGCCTGCCTCGTTAAACTGATTTGCATCATCTTATGGTCGAGGATTTGCAGATCATCGTCGTCTTCATCTTCGTCGTCATCAATATCATCATCATCATCATCATCATAGTCTTCCTCGTCGGAGCTGGACGAGGGAAGCTTGTTGTGCTGGTGTTTGAAGGCTTTGAGGCCTCGCAGGAGGCCTTGTTTGCCTCGCCCTTCGATCTTCGTGTTGGCTTCCTTCATGGGATTGGCAACTTGCTTCGGTGGTGGTGGTGGTGGTTTTTTTTGATGGATGGACTTCTGAATCGGGGTAAGCTTTTGAGACCAAAGCTCCGCACGCTTACCTGCTCTGACCAGCTTCCTGATGAGGGTTTCAGAGTCCACATTCCCAGAAACTGTGACCTTCTGTTCTTCTATATCTATGCTGACTGAGAAGACTCCTGAGTGAGATGCACAGAACAAGAGGTGCATGATGAACATCAAGTTTCTAGTCAAATCAGGAGTTGTATCTGCTGTCCATGGAGGATATAACGAACGTTAGATCAGGTACCTTCAATTCTATGGAGGAGCTTCGTAACTTTGTGCTTACATCCATCACAATGTATGTTCACCTTCAGGACGTGGGTCTGCAAGAACCAACCAAACAGTTTCGCTTCACTAACTCCTCTTCTCGCAAGATACAAACGAAACAGAGAGGAGGAGAGGTACCTGGATCTTGAGGAGCTTGAAGTCTTCGCCCTTGACCATTTCAGCCGCAATTCCTTCCTGCTGTCTGGGAGATCACAAAGGAACAGGACGCAGTTCCTTGTCTGCAGGGAGAGAAGCTAAGCCTCGGCATGCAAGACTCGTCTCCTCCACCATCCCCTGCACTTCCCTCTATATACCTCGGGGCACCCAACAGGACACCACTTCTTTTGTCCACTGCTCGCACTATGATTGATACAAACACGCACTCTCCCTTTTCTTTTCCTTTTTTTTTTTTTCTCTCTTTTTCTTTTTCTTTTTTTTGCTTTGATAGAAGAGAGTATGTATGATTAGGTCTGTCTGAGAACATCGTCCAATGTTCTGTGTGCGTTGGGATCCTCCCCGCGCGTAGATTTGGCGTCTGGAGAGCCATCCAATGGCTGAGACAAAGCAGCTAAGCGCTGAGGGGAGGAAACGAAGAAAGGAGATCGAGGAGAGAAGCCATGCAGCAGCGACCTGACCTGACCTGACATCTGCATTGCTTCCTGCATGCATAGCCCTGCACAGGCTCGTCTCTTTGCATCTGGTGCCCATTTTTATCGTCTCCATCTTCTTCTTTTCTTCTCCTCTCTACTCTCTCTTTCGCCTGTTCTGCTCCTGTGCCCGCCATAAACCCAGAAACACAGCTTAACGTTTGACGAAACACCTCCAAATCAATCACGTAGGCTCCTGTCCGCTAAAAGCATTCTCTTGGACGTTGTTAAGAACCAGCGTGGTTGTCCACCGCTGAAAGAATGCGTAGGTTGTGGTAACAAGAACGATGGGCCTCGGGCCATCATGCTCCGCTCACCTGTAACCATAGGTTTGGTATCAGTCCACGAGCTTTGATGCATTCTCTTAAAGTTAGGAGGCGGCAACGAGTTCAGCTGTTTGTGCTGTAGAAAGTAATCTTAATTTAGGGTGAATTCAGAAGCAGAGTGGCCCGAAGACGACGACGACGACTCATTACTTTGGAAGCTGAGTTAGAGCTCCATGTCGGTAGGGGACACTTTGGACGTCAAAGTTGGGTCGCGTATGGATCCAAATCCTTGACTTCTTCCTTCTTCCACCGGTACGCATGCACTTGGAGGAAAAGCTGATCACATGGTCTGTGGCAGACAAACAATTAGGTGATCTACAAGTAATCTTGGTAATGACAGGAGATTAGATGCAGAGATACAAATGGTTGTCCACCTCAACCTCATTGGATATTGCATTTATTAAGAGTCAAATCTCACGAGACTCCAAAAGTTAGAGAAAAGAAGAAATCAACATCCGAGTTCATCATTAATCACACACACACACACACACACACCATCACAACATGGTCAAAAGTTGTGACAATTTGGTCATCATTCCTGGGCAACTCACTGACTTGTATCTATTAATCTGACAAAGCTGGGAAATTAGCTGGAACCAATACGAAATCTAGCCATCTGTCTAAACCCACCACCGAGCGTGATCCTCCGTGATGACAACACAAAGCCGAATGAAATAGGGCGTGTTTGAGATGAAATGGCCGAAGCCAGTGGTGGCAATCATTAAAAAGCAACACGTTAAACGGAGATCGTGGGTTTCAACGGCGGGCGGCAATGGCGGTGGTGGGAACATGATGCCCGACGTGCCTTGCCATCATTTCCCTTTCTCACAAAGTAGTCGTGAAATTTGCTTGATATATTGGCCACAAAGATCGACGAAGACAAATTTGTCGATAGGATGAAACAACGGTGGTAGAGGAGGGATACGGGTGGCCAAAAGAAAAGAAACATGAGGGAGGGCCAGAACGGGAAATAAACGCCCGAGTACTTCTGATTCTCCTCCTCCTCCCTTCCTTCACTCCAACAGATCCAATCGCTCCCTTGTAAGCCTCCTCCTCCTTTCCTTCCACTGATTGTTTTTCTTGTCGCCGTGCCTTTTTGGTTTACTTTGGTTCTACTTGGTCTGTTAAGGCAGGGATAGGAGAGAGAGAGAGAGAGAGAGAGAGAGTAGGGGTTTCAGGGTCCATAAGAAAGCTGCCACCTTTTTCTTCTCGGTGTATTGATTCCTCTGTTTCTGGTGGGTTTGTGATTCCGTTCTTGGTTTTCTTTTAGCCTCATTCATCTCTCCTCCTCTCTACCCTTCTCTGAATTATGGATTTGTTTGCTCTCTTTCATCTTCGTTTTCTCTTTGTCGTTTCGGATCCATGAAAGATCGCTCCTTTTTCAGTGTTTCGTTTGGAATTTCCAATAATACTTTGGTTCTCGTGTTTTGGTTGCTGTTCTTCTTGTGACCGATTGAATTTTGATGAATCTTTCCCGTCTCAGTTTTCTCTGTTCGTGGGATTTCGAATACCTTGTAGTTTGAGGAAACCGACATCTTTCTTGTGCTTCTCTGCTGCAACCCTGTTGGTCTTGGTCTCTACACGATGATGTTATTCTTACACTTACTTTTTACTGTCCTGATAGATTGTTGGATTACTATCCTCCGTTTTTGGTTCTGCGTCTCAGTGTCCTGCTCTACGTTGCAAAGATAACTTCTTCCGTCATGTGGGGATTGTTCATGATTTTATTAACATCTTTCCTTTGACTCTGACGTATGGTTACATTGGCTTCTTTGTTACATTGTTCTCCTCTTTTCGTTCAAAGTTCCAGAAGAATGGGAGACCATCTTGCTTTGTTAGTGGACCACCTGCTCACCGAGTCAACGCTTGAAGCGGCTATTGGTAGTCGGAAGCATGGCCAGATTGTCGCCAATTCGGCATCTTTGGAGGACCCGGCCAAAGAATTCACTCGGAAGAGTCACGTCAGAGGAAGGACATCCGTGGGAAAGTTGGTCGAGTGCCGAATTTGTCAAGAAGAAGATGAAGACTGCAACATGGAGATCCCTTGTTCATGTTGTGGCAGCTTGAAGGTAAATCAAGCTTCTATGTAACATATGTAACTTGCCTTTGTATTGCCTATTACTGTAAGGTCAATTTTTTGTTGCAGAATATGGCTTGTTCTTGAAGATTTCATTTTTGTGATAACACGTATTACTATAAGTTCAAATTTTGTTGCAGAATATGGCTCGTTCTTGAAGATTTCATTTTTGTGATAACATGGAAATCATGCATACATCTGCTTCGGTCATGCAGTTATTTTGTATTCTGATTTGTAGCAAAAAGGTTCATCAGTTCTAGCCTGCAAACTGAATTTCCTGTATGATAGTGTGTATGTTTGAGCTACAATTTGTTATTTTCTATTAATGTATGAAATAGTTTGGTTATTTTCCTGTATGATAGTGTGTATGTTTGAACTACCGAGTGGTAATCTAGAAGTTAAAAATTGCAATTTAATTAAGGATTCAAACAGTGATCAATGTTCATTTGTAATTCATTTGCAACACATTACTTTTGCTCAGTATCTGTTTGGCAGAAGTCTGCCCGAGATATGTTCCTCTTGTGTTTTAGAATTACCTTTAATCCAGTGAAGCTTCAGTCTGTGAGATTTATATCATTTGAAAGTCAAAGTAAGTCCGGTTATTTATTGACCCGGTGACAGGAATATATCATACAAAAGAAGGAACTGGTCTCTCTCATCTCATTTGTACGTCTGTCACCTTTGTTCAACGTTACTAGTAAATTGTCATCCAACAAGTTCATTGATCTTTGTGTTCTAGAAGTATACAGTTAATGCGTTCACATATTTCTTGTTATGTGTTTTCTTTCGTAGTCTAGTTTACATCCCAGGAAAATAAGAAAAATTCACCTTAGCTCTTTCTTCTTGCAGTATGCTCATCGTAAGTGTGTTCAAAGATGGTGTAACGAGAAGGGCGACACAGTGTGTGAGATTTGCCTGCAGGTGATGTTTTTTTTTTCTGGCCTCGTAGTTTTCTTGATCTCAACATTCTGTAGTCACCATGGTGAAAGCTTGAGCAACACGTACTGATATTGAAAGTGTCAATTGAGGCTTTCTCATCAAGCAATTATCTCTTTCAGATTACATGCTGGTCATTTCATCTGCACATTTACTTTGATGTAGCATTTGGATCACGATAGTTTATTTCTTGTGATATTGCTGCTATAGCTCCTAATTCTTGTCACTCATTCAGCAATTTAAGCCAGGTTATACTGCCCCTCCAAAGTTGTTTCAGTATGGGAGTATTCCTATGAACTTCAGGTATCCTTTATTCGTCTCGTTACGTTTTTAGGCATCTGTGGCAATTCAGAGTTGCATCATTTACACAAGGAATCACTGATTGTGTCATAATATTTCTCAGAGGCAATTGGGAGATTACCAGACAGGATCAGCATGATTCTCAGATCATAGCACTGGTTCCATCTGAACATGATATCGTGCACCCTGATGACGATGATTATTCAGCTTTAGGCATGAGAAACACAGTTTGTCGTCAGTCAATTGTGATAATAGTGAGTTTATTTTGATTCGATAAGCACGATAGTGGAGTGACTTGTGAGTCGCATTTTGCCTTATTATGCTTTGTGTTTTGACGTAAGTGATTCGCTTTTGTTTTTTCCAGTTCACGGTTCTTTTGGTTCTTCCCCACACTCTTCCTCTTATGATCGGTGTAGCTGAGCAGTATTCATTCACTCTGTTCTCAGTAAAAATCTAATCCTAAGAAATTAATAATTTTCTTTCGACATACTATTATTCGCTTCTGAAGTTCCGTATGATGTAGCCCATTTTTATTTGTACGTTTCTGTATAAAAGCTACTGGTGTTGCGGACTGCTGGAATACTTTTGCCGATCTTTGTAATGGTCAGAACAATAAGGACATTTCACCAGTTCCGCTGCCGACGGGTAATTTTCTTTTTTCTTCTTCCCATAGCGGCTGTAGAAACTCAAATCTTTTTTCCATGGTTTCTTAAGAAAAAGAATCTTGAAACGTTTTGGAACATGTTGCAGGTAACTCGTGAAATATCTGATCCAGCTGAAGGAGAGAACATGATCGAACCTTGGCGGCTGGTGCGGTCTCAACCACATCACATTCAGATGCACTGACTGATACAAAGGAGCGATGATTAGCAGCGCGAGTGACTAATCCCACTGTTTCTTGGTGATGCAAGATCAGGTCAAACAATGGAAGATGAGAAGAGGAAAAATGACTGGGAACATGGCATGGTTATGCAGTCTGCTGCTCTGTACATAACATGGTAGTGATAGGTTTCCCTTCGGAATGCTTGAAAACGGTAGCCATAGTTGGATCCCTCTATAGAAAGCCACTCGCTTCAGAAAGCTTGAAGATGAAGTGGCTGAATTGAGAGTAGTGATATGGATGGCATGGTGTAAAGTCGAACTCATTTGGCAGTCAAAAGAAGATTCAAGTTTGACTTTAAATGCCAATGTTAGAACAGCTTGGATTTTCTTTTTACTTTTATTTATTTATTGGATTTACTTGAATAAGCATAATTATGGGTCAAACCATATGTCCTCCCTTGTGGTTGATTCAAATAAGGTGATGAAGAAGGAGTTACTACATTCACGTCGTCCTTGAATTGCATAAGAACATTTCTTGCACTGGTTGCTAGTGACGAAGTGCTCACCGTCAACATCTTCATATTGAATCTGAAGCCGACAGAAATTAACAATAGATCAAGAAATGTCACTAAATCTGTGCAGGAAAAAAGACCTCCATTGAGTTCTTCCTGATGCCACCCACCCCTCGTCAGCCTCGTGGAACTTCTTTTATGGTGTCCAATGCCGGCGTCCACGACGACTGCCTCGGCCTCTCCTCTTGATGCACCGGGTGGCTTCATTCGCTTTCTTGGCCTGTGCGGGGAGCAAGCAGAGGTCACCGCGGACGGGAAGAATCCTGTTGGAGAATCTTGCCTTAGAGGCCCTGCACGAAAGAGCTGCCATCTCCTCCTCGGTAAGCACCGAGAAGAGCATGTCCATCGGCAGCAGGAAGTAGAGCCGGCGTCGCTCGAGTTCCTCGTCCGCCGCCAAACCTGGAATCCGACACCCCACGTCGAGATGGTCAGAGTCGCACACGAACTACCCAGGGTTGTCAACCATCAACTCCGCCGCTCTCACAGAACGCACGTACTCTACGACGCCATTGACGACCCTTATGGATCCACCCGAGGCAGCGTAAGGTGTGCATGCAGTGTTTCCCATGAAATCACACTCCAATCTCCCAGCAACTAGAACATCACAAGGGACACAAACAGAGAACGAGAGAGAGAGAGAGGAAGAGAAGGAATGGCAATGTGTGGAATGTGCGTTGGGCATTGGGGGTATCAAGGGAAGCACATGGGCCAGAAGATACAGCATCAGATCATGCATGGAACCTGACAAATCAATGGAGGAAGCACAGAGATGCAGAGAAGCAGAATCAAGTGGATGCCAAAATGTTCAGTATGCTTGTCCGACACCTCACACCTTACACCGCTAAAAGTTGGCATAACAAATCATTGGAGAACATGACATGAAAACTAGACTGCTTAGAACACCTTTAACCAGACAGAGATGGCAACAAAAGCCAAACAATTATAATCAAATTGTTGTTGATATGCATAATCTCATCAGAGGCCAAGCTGTCTGAAGACTTAAATCATGGAGACCCAGCTATCATCTTTATGGAATCCTTACCTAATTGGTGGACCAGTGTTTCACCAAAGTAGCCAACAAAACGCTATTGCTTGATCCATTCTCACTTCATCTTGAAGAGGTTTTGGGGCGCTTCAAATGTATCCTGTTGCTTCACAAACCTGATCATATAGGCACATCATCGACAAAAGGCAGTGGTTAATCTTGTTTTCTAAGCTTAGATTCACATTATTTCCATCAGTTTGTTGTTATGCTAATCGAATAAAGAACCAAGCAATAGTGTGGGAATAATTTACTGGACAAGTTAATCGAAAGAAAAATAGTGGAAGTTAAAAGCTTAGAAACTGCATTGTCTCTTCAAATAAACAATTTACTGCATTCCTTTAATTGAATACTGAGAGAGTATACATCAGTGCTCCTTGTTTTTTTAGTACAGGCAACTTATATGAACTTCCAAAAGTATACAAGACTGATGACCTGTTGTACTGGCCATCAGAGTGTGATTTAATAATGTAATAATAAGGTTGTCAAAATTTGGTAAATTATTCACCATTATTCTGCTCCAAGCTCAATCAGATGATCACACAGCATCTGAGAACAAAAGAATCGTATTGGTGTTTCGCTAATACTAATAGAAGAGCATTGTGAGCCTTCCCCTCCTCCATGGTTAGAAATTCGTCAAGATTTTGTCTTTTGACACACCTTCAGCCACAAGCTTAGCTGTAATGACCTGCCACATAAAACCTAGTGTCAGTTAACTAGCATTCTGGAGCCATAAATTTGTGATCCTCATGTAGATTCAAAAAGTATAATCAACATTAATAGTAATAATCTTGTTGAAACATGAAAACCTCTTCTCCCTGGGAAAAAATCACAGTAGTTGCAACATTCATCCTAAGTGATATTCAATTCATAACTGATAATAAGATTCATCTACAACACCAGTGACATATTATCCAGACATGCAAAGTCACCCATAAATAAGTTGATGATAATAAGATGATAAATCCTTTCTCTTTCAGAAGAAATAAGCTGATATAACTTAAGATGATTAAATAAGTACATATTTTTTCATCAGATAAAGTGATCTTTCCATTAGTCTCGTGTTCTCAATAGAAGGCCATCTTGAAATAACATCAGATATTGATTGGTGGGGAATTCAAGCCAAGTTATTAAGTCACACTTCCAGCACTAACTTAATCGTGCTATGACTTCTACAAGCTTCCAAAAATCAATAAAAGAGAGGCTCAGTGAATCAATATGGGTTTCGGAGAGTCCATGTACACCCATCCAAACAGAGTGATTGCATTGCAGCTACTCAGACTATTTATCAATGACTATTAAGATTTCAGAAAACTGTACCTCAGTCATCTGTTTGTGCCCACAAAGCACCGCACCAGTTGTTGAAGGATTTAGAATATGTCTGGCTCTTAAAAAAGCTGTCTGCAAAATGTCAGAGAATAAATTTGATTATTTACAGGAAGTTCAACAACATAAAGTTGGTTGTTTATAGATTCAATGAGCTACCTGTACATATCCTCTTTCGCCACTCCATCTTTCATCAGGTTGTGACAAGACAGGTATGACATTTACTCCAGCATACTCCCAATCCTTGAACCTTTCCTATAAACAAGCAACAAAAGGTTTTGTATTTGATTTCTTGATTCAGATGAACACACATCTTGCTTGTTAGATGCTAGCTATATGTTTAATAGTGTATATAATCTTAGACCTGATATGCCATTTTCTGAAGATTTCTAGCTCCATAATAAAGTCTCACATCTGATCTTTCATTTGCACGGACACCTAATTCAATAAGTGACCGAATGGGACTGCCAGAAAGAGTTCATAGAGCAAAGTATTAACAATGGAAAAAAGCTAGTTAACTAGTGACAAAATTGTTGCATACAATTGTAAAAATCTACAAAAATATTTACTACAAATTGGAAGACAAAAGACACGTATCAATAATTTTTTAATGCAATCAAAACATTCTATCACACTCATCTGCAAGTTAAGCAAGTTAACACTAAATTAGTATTTGAAAACATAACATCAACTTATTTAGAAGAACAATGTATCAGTACCGTTAAGAAAGTATGATAGGAAGAACTTGAAGATGCATTCCAAAGATAGAATTGTCATTGGCAAACAAATCTCAGTTTTGGGGGACCGATAGAATGATGCGTACAAAAGATAGGATGGTCAGTATCAAGCAAAGACCAGTTTTAGGAACTATCTGAATATGCAGTAGTAGCCTATTTTCCCAATTATTATGCTACAACCAGTAACCTACCATCCAGCTTTTCCTAAAAAGTTTGGTTCTATTACAGGTTTCTACATTATCAGAAAAATGTTAAACAAATCCTCTCAATTAATATACTAACTGAAAGAAGTATGTTATACTCTACTTCTCTGAATTATTCTTCCTATAATCTCAAAAGAAGTATATGTGCCTTTGCTCCAAAGGTGTACAGGCCTTATGGAAGCTAAACAATACTATCAAAGGAACAAACAAAAACCAGATTGAAATAAGAGACTTCATATTGATATCATCCATCACACGTAGAAGTAAATGATCAACCACTCCATTATCAAGTCCATGAACGGATCTCGGATGCCCAAATTTCCAACCCAATCGCAAATAAATATGAAATGAAGGAAACAAACAGATAGGAAGTAAGAAGATAAACGGAGAACAATGTGAAGTTACAAGAATCTTTTTCTCTCTGCAAATAATTCTGAAGAGAAAGAATAATATCTTTAAAAATCACAGTACAAATATGAGAGTAGTCACTCATGCGACCCCTCCAACCTCTCTCCGCTTGCCAGTCTTTAAGGAAACAAGTCAAATCAATTTGGGCACAGAGGTGACTAACAAAGACCAAATTAGAGCTGAATTTAATATATTCTTTTAAATTATCAAATGACAAAAATTATAACATTCCCCACTACTTTTCAAATTTTCACAACAACTAAGGAAATTTTGATTTTGATGGGTGCCTTTTGGGTTTGGTCCACACTCAGTAGTGATTTTACTGGACTGAGGATCCATTATGGAATAGGTTCTGAACCACGTCCTTTACCAATCATCTAAAACCATACATATACAGCGAGTAAAATTGATGGAGCATATTACCACCTCTTTGGATTTCCACTTAGCTTGATTCTTATAGGAGCTTCAACCTCATAATCATAATCCCATAACTATCCTCATTTAGGTGAATCCTCAAGAAGTATACTTGACCGAGATACACTTCTTAGTCCACATGTCCTCAAATCTCTCACCACTTGCTAATTTATAGGAAACCAATCGAAGAAACTTGGGTCCACACTTGACTAGAAAATACCAATACAAAGCTAAATTAAATAGTTTTCCAAGTTAAGTAAGAACTTCAAAGTAACAAAAATATTAACAAAATCAACATCAATAATGATGTAAAAATGCTTAAAATAATTGGTTAGTAGAAAATCCCGGAAGCATGACATCTAATATATATATCTTGATTGGCGTAAGCCTTGTGCACTGGGCTGCCCCTTTTTATACCATCTAAGATATAAAGAGCAAATTTTGGACCATCATAAGTCTTCTATCCTACTTTGATTGTCTCCGCTTATAGTTGTAGGGGTAAGAACACCTTGCATAGGAAGTGCCTCATGCATTAGGCTATCTTCTTACTTGTTCCATCTAAAATATAGTTAAGAGGGTAAATTATATCCCATCTATAAAGTCTTTAAACTAGTCATCCATCACAACTCAGTTGGAACTAGTTCGATCACCCAAATTAACATAATGATTTACAATTAATCTTTTCTTTGTTCTCATGGATATTTATGCTATCAATTTCGTGATACAATAACCTCCAACAGGTACTCAAGAATCATTGTCTACAATATAAAAAGATATTGTACCTTATGCACGAGGCTCTCATTAATGTGGTATCTAGGGAGGGTCAATGTACATTCAAATATTTAAAGAGATTATTTTCGTGACTCGAATCTTGGTCTCCCAGAGAACCTTACCATTGTACCGAGGCCCGCCCTCGACCTCAATCGTTGTCTATGATCTCAAATCACCAAATCTATTGACCATCATTGATCTCAGAATGATGACCACTAACATAATAATAGAGTTTCAAATATTTGAGGTTTCATGGTTTTGAAGATATATTAACAATGAAGCTCTAGTGGGCAAGTGTTTTCCCCTTTTAAGAGATGTCTCTAAAAGCAACTAAAGTTCACCACAAAATAAATAAGAAAAACATACGGAACAAAATAATCTGCAATATAATGGATGGAACTAAACACGATTATTAAGCTCAGATCATGTTTGATTGAGCACACAATTGACAGTTTTCATCCTATTCAATGAACAACGGTCAGTTTGAACGCCACAAATTGAGACACGAAAACGTACATAGGCTTCAGTAAGAAAGATTAATGAATGTTCATCCTCAACGAACTGGAAAAAAAATTCACTGAGAAGCGTATGCAATGAATTTTAATCCACAAAATTCATATTTTTTCGCTTAACAAGACTGCAAAATTGCATAAAACAAGAAGAATTCAGAAATATTAGAAATTGGAATTACCAAAGGGAACAGAGTCCCACCTGATACCAGATCCCGTTGCAAAGATAAAGACGGAGGGGAAGGCATCGGGAGGAGAGATCTCCTCCACCCGGAATCCCCTCCCCATAATGCCACTCAGCTCGACGATATCCCCGCGTCTGAGCCCACAGAGAAGATCGACAGTGGAGCCAGGGACCCTCTTGACGAGGAATTGGAATTCGCAACGGGAGGCGGCGAAGGAGGGGGGGGAGGCGATGGCGAGGAAGGCGGGCTTGTCGGCACCCGGTACCCGGAGCTGGAGGTACTGACCCGGGGCGGTGTAGGATACGGCGAGATCGGGGGCGTAGGAGACGTCGACGGCGACGTGAAAGAGGGAGGCGTCGGCGGATGCGGGGGCGACGAGGGAGAGGGGCGCCTGGGACCACGTGTCCGTGTCCTGCTGAACGGCGGCTGCGAGGGCGGTGAGAGCGCGGCGGCGGAGGGGGGCGGGGAGGCGGAGGCGAGAGAGGGGAGACATGTAGCGGTGGCGAGGGACGAGAGGGTGAGCGTCGAAGCCTTTCGGGTCAGGTACAAAGAGAGACGGGAAGGAGTTGGTCGCCGCGGCCGCCTCCTAATTTTATTTTTATTTTTTTTAATATCATTTTCAAACCCATCGAATGTAAAGTCCATTAGATCGAATCGATCTAAATTTAAACCCATCAAAATAAATAATATTAATATATTTTCTATTTTTATATTTAAATATTTTTTATTTTTATTATAAAAATTATTATTATTATTTTCTGTAATTTCATAAAATAAATATATTTATTTTCTTTTTGGTCCCCTCCACTGAGTGTTTCAGGCCCCGCCGGCGGAGCATAACGTGTGTTCGTCCCCGACTCCGTTCGACTCTAAGCCGCCCCGTCGTGGGTTCACGGACGGCCGAGACGTGACCTTTTTATCTCTCCTCCAAAATCTTTAAATAAAATAATCATCATTATTTTAAATATAAATTATGTAATTTATTTTTGTATATCTTTAAATCGAACCGCATGATTCTTCTTCCATCATGAGCGAGAAAGACAACCAAAAAATCCTCCCAGCAACTAATAATATGAAATGATGCTTCAAAAATAATAATAAGTCCATTAGTGGAATCGGGCCGAACGAGGCCCAAAAACTATATTACTTGAACACTATATCCATAGTTTCTCTTCTCCTACTACTACTCCATAACGATATCCATTTCCATTCTCGACCACATCACACACCTCTCTCTCTCTCTCTCTCTCTCTCTCTCTCCCTCCGCCGGTCTGCCTTCTTTCTTTTCCTCCGCTTTTGCTAAAGAATGCAAACGCAAGCACGAACGCGAGCGGCTCTGAGATTCCAAGCCTTCCCCTCCTTCGCTAACCGGGCTCCCCTTCCCTTCGTAATCTCCTTTCCCCCTACCCGACGGCGCGTTCGAGTCCGATGTAGTGCCGCCTCCGACGGTGGTTCCATCGGCGGGAATCCTCAGCAGCAGGTGCAGCAGAGGAAGGCGTACCCTTTCGATGCGATAGAGCCACGATGGCAGCGCTACTGGGAGGAGAACCGAACGTTTCGGACGCCTGATGAGGTTGACACTTCGAAGCCCAAATGCTACATCCTCGACATGTTCCCTTACCCTAGGTAACATCTCTTGTTCAGATAACCCGTTAGTTTTCTTGGATTAAAATATGATTTGAATGGGTTTCGTTAGCTCTTCATACGAGAGAGAGAGAGAGAGAGAGAGAGAGAGAATTATGGTTCTCGAAGAAACAGCAAGGTTGTCTGCTCCAATTTGCCTGCTTATTCTTCTTCTAGGGACTTCGTTCGCTTCCTTTATGCCCACACAACTAGGATCTCCTTTCCAGACGTCCAATCCAGAAATTTTTCGTTAGCTCTTGATAGGGAAGGTTACAGATATGGTTTCTTGATAACCATTCTAGTTACTAGAATGAAAACTGAACCTGAGGTTTGAGCCTTGGTTGGTAGTGACACCATCAGCTTTACTGGGTTTGTCAATCTTTAGGCCAAACCACTCAAAAATATTAAGTATCAACTCTATTAGACAAGTTCATTATGGATATATCGGTACCAACTCTATTAGACAGGTGCATTATGGATATATCCATAATGACAGGTTCATTATGAATGTATTGGTACCAACTCTATTAGAAATATGTGGAAGCAATGGACCAGAAACCCACCTATATATAGTGATTCTAGCCTTCTAGGTGTGAATTAGTGATGATACATCTGTGGGTATTTGGATGAAGTCATACAATTAGTTTATATAGACATTAAAGTGTAAATACTATCCTAGCTTTTGACTCTTTAATGGCTGCCTGCCTTATGCAAAACTCCTGTCGTCTAATCCTTTTGCCATGTTTTCCTTAGATTTTCCATGTACAGTAGAATTTTTTGTTTGTACTTGTGAATTCATCTTTTATGATCTTTAAGGTGTTATCTGTGTAATTATCCATATATTTTTGTAGTGGAGCTGGATTACATGTTGGTCATCCCCTTGGATATACTGCCACCGACATACTTTCAAGATATAAACGAATGAAGGGCTTCAATGTTTTGCATCCAATGGGCTGGGATGCGTTCGGTCTTCCTGCTGAACAATATGCCATTGAGGTTTGTTTTCGTGCCATTATTCCATGAGAAAGTTTCTCTTGTATCTTACTCTTATTAGTCAATACTTTTTTGCACAGACTGGGACACATCCGAAGGTTACAACCAAACGAAATATTGAACGATTTCGGTCTCAGGTACCGATGCCACATTCATTTCTACTAGCAATTGAGTTGATTACAAAAAGTGTGAATCTTCTTACATATGCACTTCTAGAGCAAACAAATTGACTTCCTTTTCGTTGCAAATACAAAGTCAAAGTAGGCAAGGTGGATGTTGTTCATCATTTTATCTTAGAATTCTTAATCGGCCAGCTCTATGTCATCTGCCATAAGTCAAGAAACATAAATAGGCAACACAAAGTCTAATTGAGTGTAACTATCTTATTTAAGTGAATTTTGTAAAATCATGAAGTTTCTAATCTGCTCAATAATGGTTTTACACAATCTGTAAGAATTTTGTGGAAGGAAGAAATGCCAAAATTGACCTTGGTATGCATATGCATTATTGACACAAGTCACACAACTCAGCAGGCATGTGCTAATACTTTTTGGTCACAACATTTGTCAACCCATGCTGATCAAATGGAAATTTTTGATCTCTTGCCTATGCTCTGCTCATCTTTCAGGGACATGCCTATCGCCTACAAAAAGTCACTTCATTGGTTCAAATACTACAGTGTCAAAACATACATCTCGTGCAAATTGTAGATACTAGAATTGCTAACTCTTTTAGTTAATGAACTAAGAATAAGTGAAGACAAAAACAGAGGTTGTCTAACATGTCTATTTTCTAACTTGATTGACATTCTTGTTTGTCTTCACTCAAATGAATTGAACTCAAAGCTTCATTTTGTGACTCTTCAGTGGCCTTGTAGATGTCTAGTTATGAATCTAGGTTTTCAAGTCTTATACTTATATGGAATGATTTTTTTTTTGCAATATTAGATTAATTGGAATATTGGATATTGCTAGTCTTCAAACAGTTTTGATTAATGCTGCAGTCTATAAGTTAAAGTATGGTGTAATTGCAGACAAGAGCACTAATTCCCACTAATAAAAGAAAAATAGCATCACTTATGGTATACTATGCCACACAGCAGTTTATTTCCATGATCTTTATAAAACTGTCAATCTATCATTTCCATCTGATGATGACATGTGGTTATATTTTGTAAGTTTCCATTTGAGTAACTTACTGAGGAAATTTTGGTTTTCTGATCTTATCCAAAGAAAATTCCATTTGAAAGTGGTAAATACACTAACATGATAACTTTTGGTAATTTTTTGATGCACTAATTATATAATTAATGAGTGCGAGAAAAAAAAACTATGTAATGTACAGAGATAAAAATAATTTAAAAAATCGTAACATAAGTTTGACTACAAAGGAAATATTGATTGTTCATAAAAGAGTTAATTGATAATTTAGTTTTTTTAGAATCTATTAATAGTTTCTCAAAATTCTTTACTAATTTATTTTTTAAATCAATTAGTATGAGCTTAACCTTTAATAATTTAGCTAATTAATAACTTTGTCTTTGTAAATATAATTTATTTCTTAGTTTTCTCAAACCTTGTAAATGAGATTTAAATGTAGCAAAATACTATTGTTTAAGTTATAAGAAAACCACTAGTTAATGCTTTAAAGTAAATTCATACAAGTATGTAATAGATTAAGCCGATAAAAAGTAGCTCTTGCTGATGAAGCCTTCAACTTCTGAGCAACACTCTGATGTGAAGAAAGTTGCAAAATACTTTTAATTGTATTCTTATCCACTTTTATGTACCCATTGGCACTTTCTTCAGCAGTTTTTGTATTCTTGGTTGGCAGCTGAAGTCAATAGGATTTCATATGATTGGGATCGTGAATTATCCACCACTGAACCTGAGTACTATAATGCTTCAAAGTAAATTCATACAAGTATATAATAGATTAAGCCGATAAAAAGTGGCTATTGCTGATGGAGCCGTAAACTTATGAGCAACACTCTGAAATGAAGAAAGTTGCCAAATACTTTTAATTGTATTCTTATCCACTTTTATGTACCCATTGGCACTTTCTTCAGCAGTTTTTGTATTCTTGGTTGGCAGCTGAAGTCATTAGGTTTTTCATATGATTGGGATCGTGAATTCTCCACCACCGAACCTGAGTATTATAAATGGACGCAATGGATTTTTCTTCAGCTGTTCAAGAAAGGACTCGCATACCAGGTCTCGAACTTGTCTTAATTTTTCTTATATAGGCTTTTGATTCTTGACTCATAGTTTGACCCTTAGGCATTGCAACCTTTCTTTATTGTCATATATTTTCCTACTTGTGTTGATTTTATGTTTCAGTTTCCTGTTAAATTGTAGAAAAATTAAGATAAGTTATCTTTAAATTCAGGCTGAAATACCTGTTAATTGGTGTCCTGCACTTGGCACTGTCTTGGCAAATGAAGAAGTGGTCAATGGTGTTAGTGAACGAGGGGGTCATCCTGTTGTAAGAAAGGTAGTAGTGAACTTCAAATTCTGTCCAAAGGAAGTTTTTGTCTGATATCTGTTCTTTTGAATCTGATCAGCCAATGCGACAATGGATTCTCAAGATAACTGCTTATGCTGATCGTCTTCTTGAAGATTTGGATGATCTTGATTGGCCTGAGAGCATCAAAGAAATGCAGAGAAATTGGATTGGCCGTTCAGAAGGTGCTGAACTAGAATTTGGTGTAGTTGATTCCCAGGGATATGAGCAAGGCCTAAAACTGTCTGTGTATACAACTAGACCAGACACTATATTTGGCGCAACGTATGAAAAGTTTTGATTTTCTGTTGTTTAGCTTAATGCCCAGTGACCCTTAATTATACCCCTGTCTTCTTTTTTTCTGTCTGCAGATTTATTGTTGTGGCACCTGAGCATCCATTGTTGTCATCATTAACAACTGAGGCCCAGCATGAGAAAGTAATTTTACTTGGTTATTTATTTTCTTTATTTGTCGTGAGTTCTAGGAGTTAAACAAGAAAAACGTTACCAATTACAAATGCAGGTAGAGCACTACAGGGAGCTTGCTTCAAAAAAAAGTGATCTTGAGAGAACTGATCTTCAAAAGGCAAAGACAGGAGTTTTTAGTGGTTCATATGCTATGAATCCAGCTACTAGGGAAACCATTCCAATATGGATAGCAGACTATGTCTTAGGAAGGTTTATCTGGATTTAATTTTCGTATATTTCATACAGTTTCTGGTTAATCTTAAAATTTTTTATTTGACAGAATCCTGTATGTTCTTTCCATGTTTGGACCAAATAATCATGGTTCCAACTTCCAAGTAATTCCTATATAAGAAAATCTTTGTGCTATGTAGGTGACAAAAAGTTACTAGTAGGTTTTTGATCTGGTGGAAGATGGCGATGCTAAAAGTTGACTAGTGAAATATAATAAAACATCACCTAGACATCATATGGTGCTGAAGCTTATCTAAGTTGAAGAGGTGCTTTGGCCTAATATGGACTTTCAGATTTGTGAGGATTTTATAAATTAAAGCATGTAAAAAAGATGAGTTTGGTCAATGATTTTAGAATCTGAGGTTGCCCTTTCGGGACTTGAATTCCATCATATTCAAGACATGGAAATAGTCTCTTTGCATACGAAGGAGACCCTCCGCAAACCCAAATGAGCAGTAGCTTCATGCACTAGCTGACTGTCGTTTTCTTTTTGTGTCATAATAGCTTCATTAAGCTTAAAATTCAATTGATACTTGGTTCCATTGACTCGTAATGTTGTGCCAATTTTTCACATATATTATTTTAGACAAAACTAAAAGTTCTTTTTCTGTTCAGCTTCTAACATAGTATCAAGATTTATTGTGTGTTCATCAATCTTTATCTCTAATATCCCATGTCTTGAAACTTCCAACAGCTCATTTTATCAACTCAATCAAGACAAATCACTAGAAACCATATAGTACACAGTGTTAATCTTGTTATTTGTTAGTCAGGATTTTGTTGCTCTGTCAATTAAAAGATCCATGAGAATTAAATCAAAACGACTAATTATCTGTTTTACTTCTCTGAATGAGGAAATAAGAAAAGGATTTTTTGTTTTCTTACTTATTTTTTGGAAGGAAGTTGAACTATATCCACCTATCATGTTCATCAAGGATTGTTGCGTCATGGCACAATTATGTTTAACACCTTTTTGGTATGTTGTGATTTTATGCCATATAGGTTAGTGTGCTTGTGCCAGTTGTCAAGGGACAAATCTGGGATAGATGCTGTGACACATGGCATCGTCTCTTTAGCATTACGTTTTAACCCATTGCCACGTGTTCATCAGTGCAACACTACTTGATTCTCGTATCTGTTTAAATTCTTATTTTTAATTTTTTCTGTTTAAGCTTAAATGCTCTAGCAATCAAACACAGTTTTCTCTAGGCTTGTGAGAGTTCTACTGATATACGTTTGCATTTTGAAGTCACATTATTTTTGTTATTAATGAGTTGTTAACATCATTGTTTGATGGTCATTGTGATTATCAGTAACATTCCTTTTGTTGTTAATTAGTTATCAACATCATTTATTAATGGTCACTGTGATTATCGGTAACATTCCTTTTCCATACTTAATATGCAGCTATGGTACTGGAGCAATCATGGCTGTGCCTGCACATGATTCTCGTGACTATGAGTTTGCCTTAAAATATGATATTCCAATAATTAGGGTTGTAAGTCATACTGATAGAAGTGATGATGACAGTGAACCATATGTAGATGATGGTATCATGATCAACTCATCAAATTCGTTATCTGGTTTGAATATTAATGGCTTGTCATGCAAAGATGCTGCTTCAAAAGTAATAGCTTGGCTTGAGAGTACTGGTCATGGAATAAAAAAGGTCTCCCTTTGCTCTGTTGGTACTTTGTCTTCAGTTTGGCAATGCCACTGTGTATTATTTTGCCCTATCTTGGACTGAGCATGTTGTTTCGTTAGGTCAACTACAAGCTGAGGGATTGGCTTTTTGCTAGGCAACGCTATTGGGGAGAACCTTTTCCTGTGGTTTATCTGGATGATAGCGGTGAAGTAGTTCCTTTACAGGAAAATGAGCTTCCGTTAGTACTTCCAGACTTGGATGACTTTAACCCTACTGGAACAGGGGAGCCTCCATTAGCAAAAGCAACATCGTGGGTATGTTACTTTAAACAATATAACAAACATAAGTATCCATCTGGATAAAATAGCAACTTGTTTTCTTGGTTAATTTTGCCTTGTCCTTGTAGATAGATGTTAGTGGCTCTGATCTTTTGATTAGTCTGCAAAGTCTCTTTTAATCATGGATTGGTGTATAGATTTGTTGATATGAGCCTGTATGTATTGCTTCAGTGAAACATCAAAATGTAGACTGCTTTTCATTTTGTTATACTTATTAGCTATTGATCTTTCATGTTCTATGGTTAGGCTAGATATGCCCTTTTCTCCATCATTTAGTCTCGACTATAAAGATCATCATATGCCTAGTATTGAGTTTCAATGCTTTCTTTTTTTATCAAGCCAACACATATCTTCAAAAATTTCAGCTCCTGCTTTTCTATCATGCAGTGTAACATTTCTTTTGCAAATATTGCTTCTCAACCAAATGCTCAACTGTCCCTTGATATACTAGCATTTAATTGAAGAAAATATGGCACAAATGGAACTTAGCTAAAAATCAGAGTTATTGTATCATAATTCCCTATAGTTTGGTTGTGTTATTATTTGGTTTTGTCTGGGATGAGTTGGTCCAGTGATATTGTCCACTGCAAATGACACTATACTGACTGAAAATCTCAGTTGGCTACCTCATTGTGGTTGTTTGATTAGATATTGCTTCTAGTCATATAACAAATCTTGTTTGAATATAGGTTAAGACAGTGGATCCTGTATCTGGAAGACATGCAAGACGAGAAACAAATACAATGCCGCAATGGGCTGGTTCCTGCTGGTAATAGACTCATTGCAGCATTTATAATATGTTTTGTATGTACTTTCTTTTTCTTTTTGGAGTACATAAATCTGGTGTAGCATGTGCCAACCTGTGCTTCTTGTAGGTATATAAATTATTAAATGCATTGGCATTGGGTCATATTAGGGTTAATCCATTTTTTATGTGACCCCAATCTGGTGTAATTGGCCCTATTGAAACTTGAATTCATAGGGGGAGAGAGAGAACTTGAAAGACAGGATTGATGCCGAGAAGATGAAGTTGCCATTGGTTTAGTCAGCTTTACAGGCGTAGCAGATTAGAGACTGAAGCAAGCTGTGGAATAGAGTGCATGGATTCAGAGGATGCCTTAGAGTTGGAGATGGATCAGAATATGGAAATTGGGAATTCACTAGGGTTTTGTTTATCCCTTCGACTATTTAGTGTAAATATATACAATATCAATCTATAACATAATATGTTATATCTCATGCAGGAACAAGCAGCATGGTACATGAGGCCCTGGCCTTATATTCAGTCTTACAATTAGAGATGATGTTTCCATTATATCCTTGTCGCTCAAGTCACAAAGAAGCAATCTTATTGTGATGTGTGGTGCCATAGATCACTTTCTATGTAATATATCATACAATCTCTGTTGTAAAATTTTATATCTGATATCAAAACAATTTATGTACAGTATATTATGTAATGCTACATATGTTAAAGATCTGGATTAGATCATAAATTGATCTGAGCAACACAGATCCATATCTTAACCAATTGTGAACTGGATCAGATTGCACCATTATTATCTGTGTCATTAGGTCAATCCATTATTAATTGAATTAGGTATCGAATTGGATTGTGTTGGATATGACTTCAACCTTAGTTGGTCATGCCAACACATAGCAAAGCTAATTTTGGCATATGTTGGGTAGCACAATGGGCAAAGTAAACTATGCCACACAGGTTGGTCTTAAGAGTTTAAATTACAGAAAAATATTGCTTTTCCTATCAAGAGCATTGCAATACAGAAAAGTTCCGGTGTAACATCGCTCAATTTTTAGTAGTGTCCTTCGGTTTGTCCACACACGTAAATTGGGTTGGTATTTGATTTCAACTAAATTAGCCTACTTTTTTCTTTTCGAGATATCATTCTTTAGAATTGAGTGTGCAATGACAATCTAGGTTTAGTACCAGATGCTAGCTCAGTGGTAATTTGAGCAACTCAAGGATCACATAGCTTTTTTGATCTATGTATTGTTTGAGCCAGTGCTATGGAGCAATAGCACTGGCTCCTTATCCTCTCTAATCGAGTACAAGTTCTTTCTATTCTTCTACTTCCAAAATATCTTGGTTAGGTTTTGGTCTTTGCTTTAGTTTTGCATTATTTAGCATCCTCACATCTCTTCCAAAAGTCATTCTTTTGATAACAGGGAAAACTTTTGATAATGAAGTTTAAAGCCTTCAAGAAGGGGAAATCTTTTGGTACATGTTATCTATAAGGATGGCTTTCTTCTTGTGACATCAATTTGAAATAAATTTAAAATCAAGATCATCTTTTTTCTACACTATTTTGTAACTATTACCCTATGTTATGTCATTGCAGCATTAGTGTTTCTGAAACCCTGAGAATTGTCCAATATAGTGTCATATGGAATATTATTTGAACACTTTGCAGGTATTATTTGAGATTTATGGACCCAAAAAATCCAACTGCATTGGTTGGCAAAGACAAAGAAAGGTTCACATGCTGTTCCTTCTGCCACACTTCATGAACTCAGTTTTAAGCTTGACATGGCTAACAAAATCTTGTATGGCTTTCATCCTAGGTACTGGAGCCCTGTTGACATATATGTTGGTGGTGCTGAGCATTCTGTCCTACACTTGCTTTATGCTAGGTTTTGGCACAAGGTTTGTTTCATAATATATTTGATTAAAATCCCATTTTGTGGTGGTTTAGGAAGTGACTTGAGACATTTGTGTCGGTCCCATGAAAGGATGTTGAACTTTTAAACATGGTAAAAATGGTATATATTATGCTAGTAAAGTACAGCTATAATAGAAGTGTGTCTGTCATGCCAATTGTATGATCTAGTTCACTTTCTGCACCAACAAGCAATCTTAGACTGTAAATTATGGCTTGCACTAGCATGACAACAGCACAAGCACAGGCATATGCACAATATGCAGTACTAAAATCTTTGGTTTCCTTAAACTATTTTGAAACTTTTAATTCTTTTCATTTGAGTTTTTTTGAAATTCTTGGTTTACCAAAATCCTTGGTCTTATTTCCTTGGAGGTATTTAATACTTTTAAGTTTTAACATTGTTTTAAACTAAGAAACTATGTTCTGCCTTACAGGGCAAAAATGAAGCTTTCCCACCGGAATTCTAGCAGTGATTTGATCATGTCCAATCCTGATTGAGAAAGATATAGTAATTAGACATGGACACAGAAATACTTAAACCTTAACCTCTTACTGACTCAATCTATTTCCAACTTGACATTTGCTTCATTGTCGTGCCTAAAATTGATGCTACCTAGTTGTTGAAACCTGTTCTTTTGTTGTACTTTCCATTCTTCTCTTTCCTTTGCACATTGTAGGTCTGTTTATGACTATGTTTGCATTTATGTCCAAGTGTGTTCTGTATTGTGTAGCTTGCTATTTCTTAATTTTTCAATCTTGCTAAACGCTATTTGCTAACAGTCTTAAGAGTTCCTCATATGTAGGTCCTGTATGATATAGGTGTGGTTTCAACCAAGGAACCTTTTCAGTGCCTTATAAATCAAGGGCTAATACTTGGTGAAGTAAGTAAACTGATTCATGGACGTAAACAAACTAAAGTAGCGATTAATAATATCTAACGGTCTTGTTACAGATAGAGTATACAGCATTCAGAGACCAAGAGGGGAGATTAGTTTCTGCTGATTCTGTTGGCATCACCGATAACCATTTTCAAGAGAGAATACCTGCAGAGAAGGTATCTTGCAAAACTGCCCAATTTAAATCCAAATATTGGAGCCTTAATTGACAATTTTTCTTCTATGTTCTTACAAGTCTGACAAATATTTCTATCTTGCAGGTGATGAAAGTTGGTGACTTTTATGTTATAAAAGATAATCCCAGTATTAGATTAGTTGCTCGAGCCTACAAAATGAGTAAAAGTAGAGGAAATGTTATCAATCCAGATGATGTTGTTTCTGAGTATGGTGCAGATTCTCTCAGGTTGTATGAAATGTTCATGGGACCATTAAGGTAACTTTTTCTTTTACATTAAGTGAAATAAGCTATTGATATTCATGCTGACATTTGACTTTTATAGGGATTCAAAGACATGGAGTACTGGTGGAATTGAAGGAGTACATAGGTTTCTAGCTAGGACTTGGAGATTGATTGTAGGACCCCCTTTACCTGATGGATCATACAACTGTGGAACAATTGCCACTGATGATGAACCTACCTTGGATCAGTTGCGGAGTCTTCACAGATGTATTGCAAAAGTCAGGTTCTTTCTGCAGCTTCAGGGTCACACAATTAAGCAACAATTTATTCTGATAAAATTTTCCCTTTTGATGGGTCAAACTTGGTTTCATATTTACATTTTGCAAATAGCATGGTTAGAATTATTATCTTTTGCTTATCCAAGGGTTTTGTTTTCTGTTGTCCACACAAAAAAAGAAAGAAAAAACATATTTTTCTTAATTGTGTATCATCTTATTCTCCTTTTTGCAGGTATCAGAAGAAATTCAAGAAACAAGATTCAACACAGGAATTTCTGCAATGATGGAGTTCGTAAATGCTGCTTATAAGGTTTCTGAAAGCATTTGATTCTTTAGCTGTAGTATCATAACTGCTTTTGCAAGTTCATTAATTCATAGTTTTGTCAGCTTAGTGAAAACTTACAAGTGGGATACAACTCAGAATTATTACTACTAGACATTATAACTTGAACAGATTTTTCTTTCCTGTTTACTTCTGTCCAAGGAATGCAATTTTCACCAGTTTAGTATGGTATGGCCAGTATTTGCAGGTCCGACTGTCACGGACTTAGCTGGAATTGCCTAAGTCGTAAGGCACCCTTGCGGTTAAGATGCGAACTTAGCTTGAGTTGCCTAAGTCGCGACGCACCCTTGCGTCGACTTCTCGGACTTAGTTGGGATTGCCTAAGTCTTGAGGCGTCCTTGTGACATATGCGTCCGCAAAGGTTCAACCTAGTTGCAACCTTGTACAAATCCCGAAGGACCTGTAAAACAGAAAGTTGATTAGATTGAAAACGAGCGACAGATAAGTCCCGACGTCTTGCAAAACGGAAAGCTTTACAAGCAATTCAGCGAGCACCTTGTGTGCACAAGAGAAAATAGAAAGAGGAGAAAAACAAGGACGTTAGAAGATAGAACGAACAGTTGCAAGTCCACAAATAACTGCTCACCGGGTGCCGGACGCGAAGACAAGTTCCGAAACATAAACAAAACTTCTAAAAATCTTAGATTAGCGTAATCAAGGCATACATCAAAATATTATTCATTCCAGTGCAATAATACATACACGAGAACAAGATTTTTAACATTGATGATCACAAGTTACTGACATACATGCACGACATATGGCTTATTTCCTGCTAATACAAAATGGATATCGTGCTATTTCAGGAACTGTTATTGGCTGAAGGTCAATATTATGTGTTCAAAACCTACAGATAATATTGCTTCTACATCATGTGATGTTTGTAGACACTAGGCTACTTGTTGATTAGATGAGTAAATATCCACACAGTTGGATCACTGATTGAGAGACTTGATATGGTACATTGGTGGTGGTATATATAAAAATACATATTTGTTGTTGAGTGCTTGCACTGTTATACTTTGCTGCTCTTATGAGTAATAGCAAGGCTCATCATTGCCATGGCATAGCGTTCAGTATGGACAGTATGCACCGGTTTAAGATGGGATCGGTATGGGCAATATATATCAGTCTGTCGGTGCACCCCCACCGTACCATATGTCGGTATGTCGGTACATACCATATTGATGATCAGTCGTTACACCGGTACGGACCAGTAAGACGAATCATAAGTAATAGGATCCACTAATTTAGCAAATTGAGACTGGCTATTATTGTTATTCCAAGACCCATGGGTATTATATTGATTGGAAGGTAATTGCATGGATCTAACGTAGGTCCACATAGTTTTTGACTAGTTCTGGGTGGATTTGACTCATATTGGTTGGAAGGCAGTTGCATGGATCCTAGCTAGATCTACATAGTTTGTGACTAGATCTCGGTGGATCTGACTTGAATCTGTGTAGATTTAGGTTTAGGTATGGATTGGTACTACCTTAATTAACTCCAATACTGAGTTGCTGATCAGTAAATTGATGCATAAACAACAAAAGTAGCATGAAGCAAGAGAGATACTGCATGCAAATGAAGATTAACAATGAAATTCAGAAACTAACTTCAGACTTACAGTAATTTGGAAAGGAATTCTTCCTTGCTTGAAATTTGATGCTTGATCTAAGAGGAGTGGAGAGGGGGGTGATAAAAGGCAAGCAATAGTTTGAAATGGATCTTTGGATAAATTTCAGCCGTAGACCCTCTGAGCGCGTGAGACGTTAAATGAACTGGGTTAGCTGGTCCACATACCAGTAACTGTCAGACCGATAGTATCTAGCCATACATACTAGTTGGACTGGTTTTAAATCATTGGTTCCTTCTGATTAAAATTTTAGGTTTTGGTGCAGTTAAAATGCTCTTGCACTTCTTGGCTGTTTAGTTGCTTTATAGTGCTTCTCAACCATTCTTGTAGTGCAACCCAAGTATTGCCTGGTTTAGTGGCTAGCCAGTGTTTGCTATTGAGTTTAATAACCTTGATGTTTTAACATTGTGCAGTACACAAACATCTCAGAGAAATCTTAAATTAAGGTTTACTGAGGTATTTCTTTTTTTGATAGATGACATTGAGCTATTAGGAAGTTATTCTCTTTTTGGTTGAAAGGTAGATATAACCAGATGGACTTGACTAGGATGTGTTAATTTACCTACCAAGATACTGCTGCATATGGATGCAAGTATATGCAAATCATGTATGTGAAGGTCCCCACTGGAAATGTATGTCATCTTGGATCATGCTATTCTACTTTGTAAAAGCAAGATCTACTGTTTCCTAAATACTTGATTACTTTGAATATTTCTAGGATATCTTTGTTTGACACTTTCAATATATGCATGTGCTACTTGTTTGAATGAATCGCTTTAATCTACATATTCTTAACTATGGTCGGGGGATGACTGAAGCATACTTGTTATTTATTACTATTTCTTCAGTTCTTCAATCTATATATAGTCAGATTGTGATTTCATTCAATAGAATGTGTCTAATTTGGCTACTTTTCTGTATGTTTTTTTAGTGGGATAAACACCCAAAATCAATTTTGGAGCCGTTTGTTCTCTTGCTTTCACCTTTTGCACCTCACATGGCAGAGGAACTCTGGTCTCGAATGGGACACCAAGAATCACTTGCATATGAACAATTTCCAGAGGTACCAATTAGCTTTCTTTGATGCTATGTACTCACTAATTAAGCACATTTGTGGTCAACTGGATGCTATGTGTAAAAGTTCATGAATAATGCAAACCAACTTTTATATTTGTTTTAATGATGAACTTGGCATTTGTCATTGGCATTTTGTATGGAGACCCCTCTACAAAAGAATGAACTTAGGAAGTGAAATGAACGAAAGTAATGTATCTTTGAAATGCAACACTGAGACTCTATGCAACATCATAAATCTTTTTATAAAGTCACTACTTTTTGTGGAGATTAATGGTTAAATTGTATACTGGAAACTAAAACATATTTGATTCCTAGAGAATTGACATTAAACTATATTCTAATTGACTGTTTAAGAAGTCATGTGCCACGTATGTTGCATATATATTTGACAAGCAAAAAATTGATGCTTCATGTGCTTGCAAATTTCTGCTCACTTTCCAAAGTATAAAAGGAAATATATCATTTGTAAAAGCTGTCTGGTTTCTTCCTAGCTTGGCTCAACTACTGTCACCAATGTCTATACCTTAGAATTGATAATTCCTGTACATAACTATTGCCAAGTGCTTTTGCGTGAAATACAGTTAAAATTTATCTGGTTTGCTCTTAGCTTGTCTCAACTATTATTACCAAAATCTATACCTTATATTTGATAATTCTGCACATAACTATTGCTTGGTGCTAAATGAAGCCCCAGTTAAAATTAGCATCTTGATTGGAGAAAAATTATGACAACCAAATTACTATAATACGCCTGAAAATAATTTATATTTAAGTTTATCTTTCACAGAAATACCTTTCTTATTTGCTAACATTACATTAAATTCAAAGATGTGTATTTAATTTGTATTATGTTCTTGTTCATCCTCTTTGTATCTCATGTTTTCCACAATTTGGTCCAGGCTGAAAGTGAGTTTTTGAAAGATTCAAGCATTGTGCTGCCAGTTCAAATCAATGGGAAGACCAGGGGCACCATCCTGGTCGATGAAGCATGCTCTGAGGATGATGCATTTAGATTAGCATCAGAAGATGAAAAACTTTCCAAGTATATTTCGGAAAGGATGATAAAAAAGAGAATCTATGTTCCTGGAAGAATCTTAAATGTGATACTAGATCATCATAAGGTCAGTTCATGATCATTTCCACAGATACATATATTGGGCTATGTAATACTCCTTGTCATGGTTTTCAGCACAATGATTATTCTTTAGATAGGTTTGTCAGATGTTGTATGTGGTATTCATTGTGCTGCATAGCATGTACAATAAATTTATTCTTCCAACTAATTTGGTAAAACATATTTCATTATATGCTTCATGATGATTCTGTACATCGCATTTTTCTAATGGAATTAGTAAAAGATTGTTAGGAAGAGATAACCTCAAATGAAATATTAAGTACAGAAAATGATTAAACAATATCCTTATTTCTATTGTTTTGTACATTTAAGTCTTGTAACAGGACATGACTAAATCCTGAATATCATCCTTGGTTTTTGTTTGTTCAAAATATAGACCAGCCTCCAAAGAGCATTTGGTTTTTGTTTAATGGTTAAGAATTCTTCCATGAGAGAGCTCTGTAATTTTCATACCTTATGTTCCTGGCACCTAATTTCTATTTCTGTGGAAGGCCTGCATAGTCATAACTGCATGCAAAAGGAATTAAAACCCCCCTACTCTGACATCATAGGAATTTACAATTCATGCAAAGAAAGAAAAGTTATTTGTTTCCTCTGATCAGCAATCATGTTGCATTGTCCTCTTTGAGCTATTCTGATTAGGTAGAATTTTACTAATTGGTTGAGGTTCAATGCTTCAATTTGTATGAAGTTTTTGTCTGTAATTTCAGTATTTTCCCTAATTTTACATTCGCCAAGGCCCAAACCTATACTGGCAGGAGTTTTGTGCATTGGTCATTCTTGCAAAATCTGTTACGTAGAGTACCCATCCTTAAGTTCATGAAACAAATTCATTTGTGTGGTTGCCATTATTTAAATGCTAATTACATCTTTAGCAAATTATATGGCCTTAAAAAGCTGCAAGAATCGTCTGTGTTGTGAGGGTTGTCATACGAACCTCTCCTTTTTTGCAACAACCCAAAACAAATCCAGATATTGGTGCTCAGGAGTTCCTTCTCTAGAAATATATTTGCAGTAACTATTCATGCTACTCTATAGCATATAAGATTGTTCTGTTGCTGACCTCTCTGCAAGCACATTGTGTTAAAATCTACGGAAGTCTTTCGTGGAATGAGCCTCTGGAATTCAATGGGTGCTTAGACCTTATAAATGTTGCATGAACGTGGGGAAGTCATTTCCCTGTTCCTCATCTTTTATGTTGAAGACTTGGTACCTCCCAACTGATGCTCTATACTGGTTGGCACTTCAATATTGTATAAGCCGTGAGGACCTGAAGCTCTCTGTTAAATATACAAGATGTAACAAAGTGATGGGCAAGCGCATCAGTGGCATGTCAGGACGAAGGATATTTTTGAGAAATTCTCGTGTTGAGAAAATGTAGCATGGGCATTGTGGTTTCGTGGTGCAATGATGTCGGGATCCGGTGATGATGTCAGGTTCAGTCCCCTGATAAATATTTTACAATCCAGTGAGCATATGTTCCATTTTGCATGTTATGTTTTATGATAGATTGAGGTTCGAATGGGGAAGCTAACGCGAGGAGTGATGAAATGACACGACGGCCCAGCTATCTGGATTCTCTCCTGTGAGACAAGTAAATTACTTTCATTCCCTGATTTTATTAGTGAATGACATAAATGTTTTATTTTCTGGCCTGTTTTATTAGATCATCAACTTTCTGTTGTTGGCAAGGTTCATGTTTGGTCTTACAATTGTCTGTTGACAGAATATTTGTATGTGATAAATTTATGTCTATATTTTATAGTTGGTGTCATTACAATAAATCTTAATAGTCCCTCTGTATGCAGGGATAAGACTGCTCCTGCAAGAGCCTTGTGCTTGTTGTGTTTGATCAGTATAGTTCTGTTATTTATGTCTCTGAGGAATCTTTGAGAAGACATAGTTGGAGGACATTATTTAGATAAATTAGACCAAGCACCAAGGTAATTTTGAGAATAATACAGAAATCACCAGCAACAGAGGGAAATGCTCCTACTAGAGGACAAGTTTAAGATAGAAGTATTCAACAGTTAGGCCAGTCTTCAATTAAACTAGTCTTGAAAAAGCACAAAGAAACATGGTCCGGGTTTCAGTCAGCCCTCGGCTCGGAACTGTACCTACTGCCTGTTTCATACGGTTTTAGGTGGTACACCAGTCTTTGAAAGGAATGCTTAGTTGAGACATCTCTTTTTCCAGGAAATGCCATGTTCAACCTTTTGATGTGATAGGAAAATAACTGTTTTGAGTGTAACATAGTTCGTGATGAGGTATATCCATGATGATGTTTTGGATTATGTGAGTTCTCTTCATTTGTGTACATGGTTCGAGCAGAGATTATTTTCTACTCTGCAGCAAGCGAAAAGAGAGCGAGTGAATATGGGAACGATCAGATGAGAGAGGTTAGAACTTAGAAGGAAGAAGTAATCGAATCTAGGCGACCAGCTATACAATGATTGTTTATATGAATTTGATTTGAAACTCGTCTATTTCATCAGTAAAATAATTCTGCAATTAAAGCTGTTCTAACTCTGCTAGCTTCTTGTAGATCCACAGAGTTAACCATCTAATTTTTTTTTGGATAAAGTATGAGTTTAGTCCTGTATGTTTTTATTTGAAGCATCTTCATCTTATTAGGCCTTAAATGTTGTGCTCAAGTTGGAACAATGGAAGCTATGGAAAGCCCAAGGGAAACCAGTCTCATATAGTCTTCCTCTGTAGTCGTCACCGAGCACCAATCTCACAATTCAGCAATAAGAGAATGATGGTCGATCAAGCCTTTTGCTTGCGAGTTTGACAAGGCAGCAATGGCGCACATCAAGAAAGTTCCAGTAAGATTGTCAAATGGCTTCCATCACCACGAGGCCATTGATGGGTTTCAACAAGAGGAGTTTGTGCAGATGGTTGAGAAGCTCAACCGAGAGAAGGTGGTTGCAGAAGCAGGAACAAGGACTAATTACGCCATCTGATGAAGGGGGGTGTACGTAGCTTCAGCCTCATCAGCTTTCTATTCCTGCAGATCATTGCTGCTATACTTCAGATGTTCTCCCATACAGCTATCTGGAGGACATCTTCACATCTTGCTGCAAGTATGGCTCATAGGATACAAAGTTGCAGTAAGTGGGAAATATAATGGAAAGCAGTCTGATAGATCTCTATCCGAGAGACTGCCCTGCGTTCGAGGATGTGAAACTCCATTTACAGGCGCAGGTGAAACGAAAAAAATGGAGGCCTCCTTGGATAAAACACCTTTCTTGCTGAAAGCCTGGGGTCTTCTCCATCAATATCACGGCATACATTGACTCATGTAAAGCTTAGAATTTGTACCGAGTAGAGTTGATTGAAAGTTGCCACGCATCAAATCATTAGATGCGATGGCATGACATACATGACTTGTGTAAAGCTTAGATTTTGGACTACGTAGAGTAGATTGAAAGTTACTTCATATTACATCGTCACACAGGAAATAAGCTATCGAAGTGCATTCAAGTGTAAACCTCCAATGGTCCGAAAATAACTCAGTTGTGTTGGATGTGAAGATTGTAATTTTTGTTTTTCAGCTCTGTTGACAAGTGAGCCCATTTCGATTTAGCACTCGGATGTTATTGATTGCACTGTTTCTTCCTGGCAGTAGTAGTAGTAATAATAGTTTCGCCTGGTTTAAGAACAGACAACGATGAGCCCATGATTGTTAAATGTGAAATAATACAATAAATTGTGGTAATTACTTGGTCATTAGCTAACTTTTTGGTGCTCCAGTTAGTTGCACAAAAAAAAAAAATGAATTGCCTAAACAAAAGGAAAATTGATGAAAGGGTTTGACCTTGTAGGTTGATTAAGGACTCGGAAATATATATATATATATATATATATATATATATATATATATATATATTTCACTATCTTAAATTATTCCAAGAGGCACTCTACACTTGAAAGGCTTGCGGTATGCTCACCCTAAATTGGGTAACCTCCGTGGCGGATTCTAAGGTACAGCCCGTGAAGGAGTGGGTTGTCGTCACCATCGGTGAGAATAAAATTTGCGAATTCGAAGCATTTGAGCCCAAAAAAAAAAATTTCGGGTCTCTTTGCCATCCAAGTGGGATACGGTGATCTCACCTGCCGGTCATTGGACTTTCATTTCCCCAAGTGCAGCTTCTTTACGGCGGCCCCCACTTTCTTCGCCGCCTATCAGATGGCAGGAAGCATAGCTTCTCCAATAGCGCGTAAAAAGATGGGCTGTGGTCACCTCCCGTGAGGATAATACGGCGGAACTGGAAGAAACCGAGGCCCAAAAAAATCTTTTGGGGGGATTTTTTTGCATCTAATCGGCGTTGGGTAAACGCACCTGCGAGTCACTGGACTTGCCCTTTTTCCCATTACCTGGATTCATTCATGTATGGGCGAAATAAACTCTATAAAATTGTAATTACAATTACTCGATGGAAACATACTTTTCTAAGGGTACAGCTGTGTGAATCAATCATCCTAAACACACTATTTTTGGTGTAACAAATATTTATTTACGAAACACATAATTATACTTGCTATGTCATCATTTATAAACGCGAAAATCATAATTTTATTCGATGAAAAATTACGATAAATATGTTATACATTATATTGAAGACACGTCACGTATACCACGTGATACCTAATGAATATTACAAATATTATTCCCATGTTACTTCACATTTCCAGCTTCGATGGACTACTTGGGCCGAGCCCTCTCGAAGCCCAGCCCATTCCTACCATGGTTATGCTCACCGCAGTAAGAATAAGAACACAGAACGACAGCGGCTTTTACACGAATTTAGTTTTCTCCCAAGGAACTCTACGCTCGAAAGGCTGGTGGTAAGCTCACCGAGAACGAAACAACAAGACACTTAATAAGGCGGCTCATCTGGAAACTCCCAGAGAAATCGTTTGGGAGAAAAAAAAATGGTAAATAGATTAGTTGATACAAAAATAATAATAATTGTACGTGTAATAATGGCGTTAGATTAGTTAAATTTTTCACACAGATTTATTTATTATTATTTCGAAGGCACTTAAATCTCTTTATAGATTGATGGATGGATGGATGGATGATAGATAGATACTCGGCAGGCTCACCCAAACTTGTTGGCCACGTAGCGGATTCGGTCCACGGACTAGGATCCAGTCACCGCAGTGAGGCTAAGAAATCTGACATCGAGGGGTTTGAGGCCCAAAAGAATTTTTTTTAGGCCTCTTTGACATCGCACTGACGTGCGGTAAGTTCACCTAAACTTATCGATGACATGGCGGGGTCAGCCCGCAGCCGATTGATCCGGTCACCGCCATCAGACTTGGAAATCTGACCTCCCTCCAGGGATTGGACGCCACAGACGTGCGGTAAGTTAACTCGGTATCGTCACTGAAGCTGGTTGCGGATTCAGCCTATGGACGATGATCCGGTCACCGCAGTAAGATTACGAAATCTGACCTCCAGGGATTTGACGCCAAAAAAATTTTTTTGGGGCCTCATTGTCCTCGCACTGACATGCGGTAAGTCCACCGTCGAGTCCTCACACTCTTTATTGTTTTTTTGCCCTTTTTCTTCTTCCCCGAGTCGAGTCCGTCGCTGCTGATTCAACCGGCGAGAGGCCAAGCTTCTGTGTTCTTCGATTCCCCAGGAGGGACACACCCTCTTGGTGATAGGGTGTGTTTGTTCCCCTGCAATTTCTGCTTTTCTCCACCTTATTATCATACGTTTTTCATTGCGATTAATCCACGAGTCGTCACCTTCTGTTGTTGTATTGAGATTCTACGTGAGACGTTGCCTGTGCTTGCGGAATGAACCTCTGGTTTGGACAGAAATGATCCGTAAAGAACCGAAAGAAACTTGATCTACTGCTTTCCTCTCGTCGACTTGGTCTACAGAGAGAGAATTACTATGGTAGACGGAGTCTTTACTGCATGACCAATGAATGGTAGAGAGAGGGTGAGAGAGTGGTCCACCGTCTTGGTTGTCACTGCGACATTTAATGGTGATGTAAACATTTCAGCTGCTTTGTCGATAAAGATCACCATCTGTATGATGAAGAGATTTCAACGGTTGCTTCTCCATTGCCGAGTGTCCCGTCCCGTTCACTACATTCTTTTTGTTTATAGCACGATGTTGGAATAGAATAACTGGTTCTTCATGTGTGGGTGCTCCGCCATTATCGAGTCGCAGGAACTGCGCTTCCACCAGGAAGAAGAAAGATGCAGGAAACAACTCCCCCCATGCGCGATCGCCTTGTAAGGAGGAAAAAAGAAATGAGGCAAGATCATCATTTCGTATGCAATTCACACATAAACTAAGATTGCCCACCTCATGATCCACATATTCGTGTCGCTTGCATAGAGACCAAACACTATCTCATTCATTATGAATGTACATCACATTCGCTACCTTCCAACCCTTGGCATCGACGACGACGACTGTTGAACGATTAGGCCACATCCACAAAAAAAAAACACACACACTCGAGGATACCTTCCCGATGACAGGAAGAAGAAGAAGAAGAAGAAAATGAACATTCATGGAAACACTTGTAGAGAAATCCTATAACATTCTATAAATCTTCGTTGTCATTCTTCCACCATACATTTTTCTCCAAGTTTTCCTTGTCTTCATCCTTAATTTTGTGCGGAATCATCTTCAGAATATGACCAACTTCTTGTTTGGTCGTATTCCATATCCCCACAAACGTGTGGCTGATCAATCATGAATTCTTTTAATGAGTTTGCTTTGTAATTTTCAGATTTTGAACCTATAAAGAAAGATTATAAACATATGAGATACAATACAACGATAATAATTAAGAAAAAAAAGGAGTTCCATGACATGACCTCAAATTCTGATGACTAGAGAACAGTTATCGATGCGCTGATCGGCATCTGCTGAGTGTGGAAACGACTAAGAACTTGTCATCTTAGTCATTGACCTACAACCCATGCCAGATATTTAGGAAATGCTTGTTCATATTCAAGCACTATCTCTCTTCTATGACAAAGTGGGGCTCCAACCACTAGCAACATCACGGCCACATCTTGATCCTGAGTGCAAGAAGAGCATCACTACTGATATGGCTGGCGAATACAGTTTGATGGGGATCACTACTTATCTGCCTAAACCTGCGTTCTGTTCAAATAATGGCCTTAGAATGCTTTCGAATAACAAGGAGTAGTGACTTATAGCATCTGCTCCGAGCTCATAGGCTTGGATTACTCGATGACCGTAACCTTTTTTCCTTGGGATAGCACCTCTGTTGTATTCAACAGCCAAGGAGCAGTAGAAGAAGAAAGGTGCCGTGCCCAATTACCTGCAAGACAAGGCACATCCTGTTGATGAAACCTCTCGAGCCAGTGATGGCTAGTATCTTCCACATGTTTCTAGTGGAAGACAATGGATTTATATGCTGCCAAAAAGTCTACTTCCATTTAGTGCCGCAGCAGCATCTTCGTAGTGCACGGCCATTGGGCGGACCACATGTAATTTACGACACAGATTGAAGATGTTGAAGGGGAAATGGAAAAGGATCGGTCGTGGGCGAGGAGGAAACAGGGATGAGGTTGGCGGGGCATCAAAAGTATTATTGTTCCACAACCTTCCACGGTAGAAAGATAATTTGAAGAAGAAATAAACATTCAACTTTCTTCTTTACCTAATCTTTTGTTGCTTTCTAAAAGAATAATAAATCTAGACCATCCAATAAATTTCCTATGATGATAAATCAACAAAAATATATAATTATCCTTTTTTTCTCATAATAATCTGGCTTATCTAATGAGCTAAACAAGGTTGATAAATAGCATTTGACTTTCTTTCTCGGAAACTGTTCCTTGGGTGATGATATCTCGACCGAGTTTTGGCCTAGAATAAATATATATATATTAAGCAGGATGCATTTCATGGGTCGAGAGACCAAGTCGAAGTAAACGGTGGGTTTCCTTCTTCCCACTAGCATGTCCCCATTTTTATGGATTCCTCTGCCAAATTGAATTGGCTGCTGCAGTAGGGGAGCTCCGAACCAACTCCGTGCCTTGGACAAATCAAGAGGTGGAAGGAACAAGGCAAGCAGGTGAAGACGTTCGCTTGGTCAACCGTGTGCTTCTTCTTGTGTTGCTCGGAGAAAAAACCTGCTCTCCTCGCCTCCCTGACCAAGTCTCACGTATACCTACCCACCTACAAACAACTCCTGTAAAATATATTCCGATGGTCCATAGTTTAGTGACGCCATGAGGCTGTCAAGGAGCAGCTTTGGAGCTCCATGTAAGTCGACGGGTATTCGCTGGTGTGCATAAGAAATCTCTGCTTTCTTTCTTTCTTTCTTTCTTGTGAAAGAGGAGAAGACCGAGGGCTGCACCGGCTGCGGAGATGGTGAACCAGATGAAGCTGTTCCGGAACGCCGGCCAGTCGCAAAGATTCAGATTCGTGGTGCTCGTCATAGGATGCTTTCTGGTCTCCATGACCTTCATAGTGGTGTCTAGACCACTCACTTTCCCCAGTCGTAAGTTGTTTGCGTTCTTGGTTGGGCTTTCGGCATCTGCCGATTTCAATAGACCGCCATCCGTCTTACTTT